GAAATGCATCTCCCGCTGAAATTGTCAATCCTTTCCAATTTCTTGACATCTTAATCTAAGCCCATCATTTAGTGCTTTAAAAAGAAATCCAGTCATTTGCCATTACTTTAGCGAAGAGACGTCTCCATTTCTTGCTGCAACCATCATGATAGAAAAGTAAATGCACAGATAATCTTTTCTCTTACCTCCTTTCGGGGAAGCACTTAGGAAATGTTGGTTCCTTAACTTCACGCTTTAAAGACACTGTTCACTCCGCTGCCATCAAATTCAAAGAGAGGCTCTTAGATAATCTTAATGCTTCATTTAAATGGATGGTAGCTGATTTATTTATATGTTGTGTTATAGGTGTAAAAAAAAAAGAAAAAATCCTCGCAATAAATTTTGCTTTCATTTCATAACATTTCCTACAGATGAGGGGGATCTTTGACCACTGCTCTTTGCAAAATCTCTCCAGATGGTCTAGACCTCTGCATCTTCTCTTCTTCTATCCAAACTTCAGCTCACCTCACTCAGTTTCTTCAGTTATTGACGGTGGTTACAACTGTGGCCAGGAAGGGTGAGCCAAAGCCAGGTTTCTTCTCTTGCTGAAGAAACTTCAGAGGCTATATTGCCATATAGATCTTTGTTTTATGACGAATCCTTCTGTATAAAATTATCTCTATAAGTTTCCTCTCCAGAATAAACCCAGCTTTCTTTTGTCAAGTTCCTCCGGTGCTCCTCCCCCGACAAATGATGGCAGCCCATACTTCGCTCTCAATAACAGACCTCTTCTATGTTCACGGCGTCTTACTGTAAACTTAGAAAGACCTAAACTTCTTTAAGAAGTGCAGCCCGCTCTGCCCCTTAATGTAGGTTTCACTGTAGTGGTATTTACACCCCTCCATCAACTTCACTTCTCATACCATGAAGAAACAGTGTTTACTGCCAATACAAAACTTGATCTAAGTCACATCAGTTCCAGTTGAACCCCCATTAGATCCTGACAAACTTCACATTTTGAATATGGCAGATCTTTCTTCAAAAAGGCTTTTTAATCTCAATGAGACATCTTTCTTTCCAGAATAAATAATGGATATGATTTGTGATGGAAAAGGCCTTTTTTTTCCTGGTGTCATTTGGGAGGAAGATTGTTTTTATATGTTTTGGAGGCATTGCGATTTTGGAAACTGTCTGATTTCTCATGTCTTCATGTCTTTCTGACTATCCAAAGCGGCATTATTTGTCACTGTTCCAGATATTTGAACCCTCTGCCACAACTGTAAATATGGGTGAGCTTATTTTTCTGTGGCATTTTCTTGATTGAACAAACTGCCACATTTGGATGGCATGTTCTCTTGTCTTTCCCATTTATCTTTCCCACAAAAAAGGAATTGATAACTGACTAAAAGTTAATTAAAAATTCAAAACTCTGATCTATGTAGATGGTAAAGTGCACCTTGAAAAATGCTTGAGTTGCATTTGTTAATCTGAATTTCTATCAACTGAAAAATATTAAAGGGGAATTTGTTTCATCACTAAATAAATGTGGACGAATTAACGGCTTGATATTTTAACTCTGTATGTCCATTAATTTATTGTAAGTTTTTTTTTAGCATGTCTATAACAGTAATTAATTGCTTGAAATCTCAAGACATTTCAATCACATTTGGACATGTAACCCTTCTCTCTACTAGATCGTTTACATGGCAGACCAGTTTCCTGTAACCAATGAGGAACAGACCACTGAGTACATTCAAATCCAGAGCGAATCATGTTTACCACAAAGTTTCACATCTCTGGCCTTTAAATACACTCTCGTTTCTATCGGACATGTGATTTTTTCTTCCTAGTGACAAACAAAGCTGCTTATTTAGAAGATTTCCACACGCACCACCTGATCTGAGAACCATTTGCTTCTCCGGGGTCAAATCGAATTCCTCAACGACAGATTTTACCAAAGAATCGATTCAACAAACACAAGATGTGAGATATTCTCCCAGAGTTCAGTTCATCGCCATAAATCAGACCGCTCAGGAAGCCAGGGGAGGTCACAGACATCACTGGCGGCTCCTTGTTCTCCTTTCCAAGAATAATGGGAAATCACACGTTTGGCTCCCGCACCGCATGATTATTACACATCAGCACAGCAACAAAAAAAGAAGAAGAAAACCGAAGTAGGTTCGTTTTATTTTAACCCTGTCTGATTTGTGAAACCATCCAATCGTGCCACAAATATAAGGAAAACATTTTTCCATAAACATTTTTTTTGTGGTTGGGAGTCTGTGCAAGAGCATGCTCCGCGTGTCTGAATTTTCTGTAATGTTAGAGGATGTATTGATTCCTGCAGCTCTGAAACATGAGATAAGTTCTGCAAAAGCACAAAATAACATTGGAAGCGAATAAACATCTCATGAAAACAATACGTCACCATCCCTGCAGCACTCCCATAACCTCTAAAGACAATTTAAAGATTGTTCTTTTATAAATGTTACAATGGAAAGAAATGTGTAACCTAACTCACCAGAATAGTCCTGATGGTCGTGTTTAGTAAACTAAAGAAAACTCAGACGTTCGCCTTCCGGCTGAGATCAGGGCGTGTAAATCCTGCATCATAAGATGTTCACTTAACAAGAAGGCTGTAAAAGGAAAGGAGAGCCTGAGTGGGTGACCCAGCCCACACCAGATCCCGCGCATTACCGAGGCTCAGAGTGCTTAAAAGGCTCCTGCACTGACCATCAGTCCTTCCAACAACACAGTGCATCACATCAGCAGGACTCGACATGTATGTGCCGCTCAGACTGCAGGCGAAATTGACTTAATGATGACTTCAGCAGTTTCCTCCTGCGTAAAAAGCTTCTGCTTAGCAAACTGAAAAATCTCCATCAATGATACTTTCAAATATATTGAAAGTTAAGGATCCTCATATTTTTAAAATAACTAAATACAAATCCTAAGAGACACTTACTTGACCTTCAGGGTCCGAGGATGTTTGTCTGGTTTTCTGGCATTTGAGGCGCCGTTCTTGTCTTGTTCTTGTTAGTTGATAAAGTCGCTGCAGAGCTTCCTGTGTGGAACTCTTTGCGCTTTCATTTCAGTTTTCAGTTTGTGTGTGTGTGTGTGTGTGTGTGTGTGTGTGTGTGTGTGTGTGTGTGTGTGTGTGTGTGTGTGTGTGTGTGTTGTCAAAGCTGCTCTGGTCCTGTGACTCTTTGTGGTTTGACAGCGTCTGCCAGCCAGCGTCACTTAGGTTTGTCTTCATGAGTAATGTTGACTTCCCTTTGTTGAATGGTTAAATGGTGCACAAAGCTTATAGGAAGCATAAGATGGTGCAACTACTGTCTCACTTCCAAACAAACTACCCAAGATCTTTTGTCTGTGGGTCTGTACACATTCGGTGGAGTTGATTGATATTGAGACCAAATCGACTGATGACCAATCAGTCACCTCTTTAACCTTTCCACATTTAGTTAGAGATATAAGCTTCAATGTGTTTTCATTCAAATTTTATGTGTTTATCAAGATCAGAGCAGTTGCGGAGAGGCGTACCTTAATTCTGGTGGAGCTTCGGTGATCTACCGATCTTTTACTAGAAGAGAACCTGCATGGACAAAATTCATAGGGGACACAGTAGCAACGTGAAACAAGGTGCTCTGGTCAAAAGAGAATAAGATTATACGTTGCATTCAGCACATCGTCCTGAACACACCAACTCAGAAGAAAAATACCAAACTCTAAAAACAGAATCTGTGGTAACTCATGACTTCAATATTTCCACAATCAACTTAAAGAGAAAATTACCTGATGGAGAATGGTGCTCACTGTTTAAAAAATATCGCTGATGGTTTCTGGTGAAACGGTTACATTGAAAAAAATATTGAGATGAAGATATTGGATATTTATCCAATCCTAGCCTTGATTACAAATATAAGTTTGAAGTCATAAGACAGAAACAATGAGAGTTAAATACAGTCATTTTTAATTTAATCATTCATTATAGTCTGAAAGATCACAAACAACAGAATCCAAAACTGAACATTCACCTGGGCAGCAGGGGCTCCATATTGCCTTAATTAAAATATGCAGTGAGAATAAGGAGAAGACGGAGACATCCTGGTCATTTTCAGCCTGACTGAGAATCGGCTAATAGTTGCTTCTTCCAATGTTTGGCCAGTGGATGTGAAATATGCTAAAAACAAAACCGGAACAGGAGCCACACCAGAAGGTCACCGACAGCAGCAGCTAGTAAACTGTGCAGCTGTTGAGCAAGCTTGGATGCAGGTGCATGGATGACAATATACTTAATGCTGGCTTTGAACTCCTCATATTTTATACGATATTACAATATTTTCATATTGCTTGCATATGAAAATGCTTGAAAATTGCAAAGATGTATGCAGATGATACACCCAAAAGACTCCTCAGCAGACTATTCTGCCTTTACATTTTTATTTATCCAGTGGACCTTGGATTTGTATAAACATAGTCGTAAAATTATTCCACTGAGTTATTTATAGAGATTGAAAACGTGATGATAAACTCTTACCTACTATTTTTGCTTTCTTCAGTTTGAAATTGCTGATTGAAAGATGTTGGTTTTAGACTTTTATATTTACCTTCAATCTGAAACAAATCCAAATCGAATTTTTGTTCCCCTCTTCGTTACAAATTTTGTGTCAGAGAGTGAAACCAATGAAGCACATGGCAGACCTGGATGGAGGATCGCTGCTCTGTTAAATGTGCAGATCAAATGTAAATAATTTGTTTTCACTTTGAAAACAAACTGGGATGACCCCATGGCAAAATGATCAGCATTACAATGACTCCACAGTGTCCATTAGAGTTGTTCTGCTTCCATGTTGTTGGAATCCATTATGGTTAATTCGGCTATAAAGTTGGGCTGTTTTGTTCATAAATTCTCAGACTTGATTAGAAATACTCGTGTCAGTGATCATTACTGGTGGTGTGACGAGTTTCTGAACTAATTCCTTCACAAGATTCAAGAGATGCTGCAGTTGGTACCCCAATTAAATTAAATAATCATTTTATTAATTCAACAAATAATAAATGATCAATTACAGTTATTAATCATCACATAAACCAAACAGCAATTCAAGTTCTGCCTTTCAGGGTGTTGAATGGCGACTGTTGCCCCGTGTCTTTCCCCTCTCTCATGACCCATGATCCTATCTCTGACCAGTACCACAGAGCTGACCAAACCTTAAACAGTATATTGGTGGTAGCAGCATGCTGTGGGGAAGTATGACTCAAGCTGAGGAGAGTCAGGAGGTGCGAAGTCAGCTGGCATGGGGCGAAGGTCAGCTGCTTTCACAAAACAAAATTATGACGCTGCGTATTGGAAAATATCATTCAATACATTAAGCAACATATTTCCATGTATGAGATTTTGCATCTACATTTTCCAATATATCGCAATATAACCACAAGTCATACATGTGAATATAATATATTCAAAAATGCATTAGAATATATTACAATATACTTGCAGTAACACATTGGTAAATACAATTTTTTTTATTTTATTTTAAGCTTCTTTTGTGCTCAAAGGTAATGAGGAGACTGTCATGCATTCATCAGATCAGCTTTGTTGGACTTCAGACAGCTGATGGCAGAAAGGTACTCTAGTGGACACAAATATTTACTTGGTGATTTAAAATGCATATGCATGAAGATAACGATGCATTACTGGCGATAATGATGAACTGACTTCCTGTTCCACCTGGACTCATGTCTCTGCTCCCTCTCATCACACCTGCAACCCGTCAGCTAATCAGCCCTGGTCTTTTGGTCCATCATTCAGCCTCCCAACACTGAAACGCGTCTGTTGTCACTCCTGGCTGCTTGCTCCCCTCACTTCACCGCTATAGCCTGCTGTCTTTTTGCACTTGGTTTTGTTTTGTTCTGTGTTTCCAGTATTTTTGTAACATTACACTTAAGCAACAACATACTGCTTTGAACAAATAGATACATTTGTTTGGTGTGTATCTTCGTCTTGTGTTGGCTTCAGGTAGATTCTTATGTACGTAGGTGTTAAAATAGATTTCTGTCAGTCAGCCAGTGGGCGAGGCAGCCAGTGGCATGTACATGTGGCATGTACGGCTTTGTTTGCCTGTAATAAGCACAGAGTGCAATTTCAACCTTTTTTGTGCTGCGAAAACCACAAACCCATGGTGCCTCAAGTGATCATTTCATTGTGTGCCTTCAGTTTGATCACTCAAGTTTCTTTTTTGTTTTTGTTTTTTCTTGCATATAGTCAATACAACACAATAAACAAACACTTCCAAGTCAGTTAGGGAATCAGTTAAAGTTCTTCTGTTTTACACAACAATATGTTTGAGTTGGGAAAACCGTGTTGATCAAGCCAAGCAGCCATGTTTAACTTCTTCTTCCTCTTGTTCTCCTTCTTCTTCTTCAGATATACAGGACGAGAGCTCATCTAAGTTTACTGAGGCATCCGCCTCCTCATCATTGTGCTGTCCTTAAAAAAGCCTCTCCAGCTTCTTCCTGTGGAAAAAACAAGGCACTAGTACAAGATCTGAATATATTCAGTATTGGACAAAAGAAAAGCTTTTCAAACCTATGTTAAATTCTCTGGAAGGGCTCTCCAAATCAGGCTGCTGGCTCAGATCACAGCATCCCGGATCCTCACTGATGTTGACCAGGTCGGTGTTCCATTTGTTCCAGTTTATTTCCTCAACCCTGAGGAGACAAAGCAAAACATGCTTCCATTGCCTCCAGCTGTGCAACACATGAGGCAGCTCTAAATAGCTTGAAACCCTGTGTACATTATTTTCCTCACTAATACTAGGGTTTCCCAGGCTTTACTTGTGCCCCCACCAGGTTAACCCTCAATATAATATACAAACTTTTGATTTTCAAGAGATTAAAACTAAAATATGTAACCTTTCTAAAATGTTTCTTACATATTTATTATACTATGCTATTGCAATCTGCGTAATTGCCCCGCTCTTGGTGAAAAAACAACAAATCACAGCCTTGAGGAAGGTCTTAGTGCTATCAATCACGTTTGTGTATGTGCTGCTTAATATAATAATATGCAATATAACACAATGACATATTCCAGCTTTGACAAATAGATTTCTCATATATTCCCTATCTCATTATTGTGGTATTCAGCAAATAGAAATCCTAATCAGATTTTAGTGACGCTCTTCTACTGGATTAAAGTGAAACGATGCATTAATGGTGATATCGACCTTCATTATAACAGCTATATTGAGCATTCACACTTTGACCAAAGGTTTGGCAATAAGTTTTAAACAATAAATAAAAATAATGAATATTAAAAAATCACCAATGGGAGCTGTCTTTCTAGCACTGTCGGCTCGCAGCATCAGTGCTAGAAACACTAGCTGGGTTTCTAACCCCTAGAAATTTATCCACGAAGGACAGATAAATGGAGTGAATTGATAAATATATTTAATCATTTAATCCAATTGGATGGTGGATGGCAAAGAATCAGGTTTTACCAATCTCAAAAGTATAAACCCAGGTTTCACAGCCCTTTGTGTGTTTGAGTAGCTGAAATAAACATAAAGAGGCCGACCTGAAACACCTTCGACGATCGTCTCCAAAAGCGGTGCCGAGTTTCCTCTCCACCCCAGAGCGAAAACTGTTCTTCAGACAGCAGGGTATCCGCTTCTCCATGTCCAGGATTGTGAGAGCCCTCTGGGGACGACAGCAACCCATTTAATCACTGCTCTCTTCAATAAATGACGAAAGGAACGCCAGTCACTCACCTGCAGCCTCCAAATGCCAGCGCTCTCCTTCCTGGTCTTTTTCACAGTGTTGTTCATTAGGGCTATGAGCAGGTTGAGCAGCAGGATGTAGGAAAGAACAATGTAGCCAATAAGGAGGAGGTAGAAGACCTCCAGGTCCTCGTGATTCTGCATGAACTCGATGTCGCCCATGCCGATGGTGAACTTGAAGAGCTGCAGGATGATATGAGCGACGCCTTTGTAGCGAGTTGTGACACATTTTGATAAATCAGTTGTGGGTTTATCAGAAAGACTTGGATTCCCTTGTTCTGTTTGGTTTTTGGGTGCAGGTTCCTTAAGCAGTGTGACTAGGGCTGTAGCAAGAGACAAATACATGTGAGACAAGCCTAGAGTAGTCAACTCTCTATTTACTGGAGCTGAGATAAAATACCTGCTGAAAATCCCAAGAGGAAAACGATGTAAACAAAAAAGAAGCGCAGGATATCGCTGACTATCATCTGCAAAGAAATCAGAAGTTAGATGGGAAATAATCCACTTCAACGTCAGTCACAGCTGAGTGGAACCCCTACCATCTGTATCATGACACTGTAGATGCCCATGTGTTTGTCGCCCCTGGAGTAGTACAGTATGTTCACCCAGCTGAGAGCCAGACAGATCACCAGGAAGCCCAGGTACTCCTGCCTCCCCGCCAAGAACAGAGCAGTGGCGACCAGGAACAGTAAACCCTGAGTGAAGCTAACAGCAGCATGGATGTTAGACTGATGCAAGCATGTGACCCAAGTTTACTTGTAGTCACTACAGTCTGCAGAAATAGTCATATCTAGTGAGCTGTTTCAAACATTGACTTGTTACAACTACAAACTTATGTCTTGACTCGGTAATTTGTATCACAAAATAATACATGGTAGTGTATAATTGTGCATAGGGAGACACTTTTAAGAATTATAATCTGTTAAGTTTTGGTTTAAAACCCAACACCCAGTAAAGTCCTCAAAATGTCACAGTGTTTCCATGTTAGACAATCTGACACGTAGACATTAAATCTGTAACAATATAATAGTAGAAAACGTTACTCACAAGAGAATCTCATAATATCCATCAATCAGTAGTGTCTGCAGCTTCGGCCTCTTCCTCGTCATGCCCACAATCTGGGATTATGACAATATAGAAAAAGAAGTTTAACTCTTTTTCATTTGGGCCATAACAAGGTCACAGATGTCCTCGAAGGGCCGGTTGTGGCCGAACGTATTGATAAGACTACCCATTGACAAACTAATGAATAGTTATCTCTCGATCCATGATATTAAATGTCTTTTCACATTGGTGCAATTTGGTAGTATACAGACAAAGATGTTTTGATGTAATTGATAAAATACATTTCTACTCATCTTCATGCTGTTTTTTGAAGGTCTTTTTAATGAAGCTATGTTCAAAGCTATGGCGGGTCAAATTTGGCTCCCAGGCCTTTGGTTTGACACTTGTTGTAGAGGTTTTACTAAACTTAAACTTATACTGTACTAGGTAGCGATATAAACCAAATGTGTCTCACATACCCCAATGACAAAGAAATAGCAGTTTGCTAGTAAAGTCATCAGCTGTCCTAAAACATACAGGTAACCCCAGGCGTCCTCAGGGATAAACGGAAGCTGTGGGACAAACAGGAGACATTAGTTCAGGGCGTCTCCAGTAGACTCCGTTAATCACCGTTTAAATCTGTTTACCTGTGTTGCATCTTTTTTATTGTAGGCTACAACAGTGAAGATGATCAGGTACACAAGGTAGACCAGGAAGTTGAAAAAAAACATTCCACCTCCAAACTTCTTCCACTTATCCTCCAGGAGGCAGCTGAGCGGCTCCTTCTCCAGCATCTCGTGGCGGTTCTGAGAAGAGACACGACCTTGTGACCTTGATGACAGCGTAAGGTTTCTCCGAGTTTGTCTGCAAAGCTGGGACTCACGGGAATTTCACTGCCATAGACTAGAATGTCCAGAACAGAGTTGTTCTCGTATGAGTCCACAGAGGACAGGTCGTACAGAGAACTGTGGACGGGTCCGTAAACCCACTCGGTGAATTTACGGGACAAGTGCTTGAAGTGATTCTCCTGGAATTCCCTTTGCAGGATGTGAGAAAATACCTGCAGACAAATGTAAAAGGAAATTATAAACAGACTGTGACAGTTCAGACTCACCTGGTGAGAGACAACCAGGTGAGTTGTCTCTAACCAGATATAGTCACAACTGAGGGCTCCAACCATATTCACCCCAATCTTGCCATTCTTGGCAGCCAGTTTGAGAGGTGTGAGTCTATCGTTGTTCTCTCTCTCCTCCAGCTTTATCTTGGGATGCAGTCGGGCAGTGGTCTTTAGGATAAGATCATAAATGGCCGTTATGAATTCTGTGTTCTCCTTCGAGTTATCGGCCACCAACACCAGGGCGTGCAACACTGTGTTGCCGTGAGAGTCTGCCATCTTGGCGTCCGCTGGATACTCATTCTCCATCAAATAGCTCACGATGTCAGGCTGGTTTGTGCAGGCTGCTAGAGACAGGGGCAGCTCACCTATGGTGGAACAATTCAACAGCGTGAATCACAGCATATGCTTTGCTGCCTCTGAGATTAATGGTGGTTGAGGCATTATACTGAGAGTGTGTTACACGGCCACTGTTACTGGTGAATTTCACAAAGGAATTGGGAAAATAAAGTGGAGCTTCCTTCAAATCTGTCAACTTTACCTCATATTGCCGGAAAGATGATTGACACACATTGGTGTTCCATCAACATAATAATCTCAAACATGCATCAAAACTGGTGTTGCACTGGATAAAGCATTCCAACAGATTCACATGTGGTATAACAGTCAACTTTTACCTCAGGTGTTAAAAACCTGAGGCATAACCCAACATTAGGTGGCGCTATTATAGAGCGTAATTAGTTTGGTAAATACCAGCCCTGTATCCTTCAACTGTTGATAGACGTTTACTTGTTGATGGTGTGGACTGGAGGTTTTCGATTTTATCTATTTGCTAACGCTAATAAACTTACCGAAAATTGTCTGTAAACAATCGTCCACTGTGAACTGACAAGAGCCTAATCAAATGAGGCGACTGTTAACTTTAACTCAACTCAACAATTCTAAAGCAGCGCAGATAATTGACGTTGTCATTCACAACTTCTCTTGCTATTCGCCGATTGGCCCGGTAAAAAACTACTGGAGACAATCCAAGTCAAAGGGAGAAAGCCCAAACTTTCGCCAGAAGCAATAACCTTTTTCAAGACGAATTACACAGGTCAGAACCAAACCTTCTCCCCACAAACTTACCAAAGTAGAAGTTGGGACCACGATGAGGCTGAAAAAACTTCCCACAGGCCTTGGCGTGAACATCTGCACCTTTGCTAACAAGCAGCTTTACATAAGACATACTTCTCCTCTCAATGGCGATATGTAGAGCAGTCTGACCTATAATAAACAAAACAAAACATATATTTTATCATTTTGTTATTGTTGTTAAAAAAAGACATTATTTAAAAACAGTGGAACATGAAAATAGAGAGCAGACTGTCAAGTTTAAGCGTTTCTTCAGAAGAAAGTTGACCTTTATAGTAGCTATCTGTGAAGGCGGAGTTCACAAACTCTTTTATGTCGCCGATCCTCTCTGAAACTTTGACCAGCTCCTCTATGGTTTCGTTTTTGCCATCTTTGAGGTGCAGCAGAGCTTTCATCAGGGCGGTTTTACCGTAAGACTGATCTGTAGATGTGATCGCATGTTGGTGGAGTCAGAACACAGATCTGCAGAGTGGGACACCTGCTGGGTCATGTCTACCTTACACACTTACACAGAGAGTCAGAGAGTTTCTTCATGTTCTGATGCAAGTACTGGTACAGGCCGTCCAGTTTGCTGACGTCTCTGCTGCCCACTGCTTCAAACAGACGCTCAATGTTGAAAGTGGAGCTGTCTCTCTTTGGCTGTGATGCCTCACCTCGAATCCCTCTGCAAATAAAAGTTGTTGCATATCTCAGGCAGTTTTTTAGTCCATTGTAATCAGTAATAAGTGGCTTGACAGCTCACAGTACCCCTGTGGTAATGTAATGGTAAATTAAGACAGAATCACTTTATGACTGTGTGCTGAGACTCACTTGTCAAAGTTGAGATTGAATCGGATCTGAGGCTTGACCGGCTCCATTTCCTCCTGGTAGTCGGTGTCCATCGGGGCTTTAGGAGCCTCCTTGCTCAAACCTAAAGCAGAAGCCAAGCCATCCTTCTTTGGTGCCTTTTGCTTCCGTTTCTCCTCCTCCGTTCTGTCGTCCGCCTCCAGGTGGAAATCAGAAATCTCTGATTTCCTCATCTTTACGTAAAACTCTGGTATCTGGAATGAGACAAGAGTTTTAACATTCAGTTGGTCTCAAAGGGAGCAGTAGTGTAATCATTTTTGGGTAAATAACTCCTGAGTATTATGATGTATACCATGATGTCGTTTCTTGACTACTGTAGTGTTTTAACAATAGCTTTCTGGTTAGAAAGCTAACTACTCTTGGCCTGTGTAGTTCAATTACCAGTTGGATGTAGTTTTGAGACAGAACAAATCCAGGTTAACTCAGATGGTTGTAGATTGGGGTTACCCAAGGCTGATGATTTGTAGTGAGTAAATTTACTCACTACAAATATTAATTGGTCTTTAGTTAGACCCATATAATTTTGGTGTCATGACAATGAGACCGTCTACTTTAGTCAATCACTTGGCTTTGAATGTGATTATACTCAAAAAGGTTATTAAGGATTTTTAACAGCTAAAAATGCAGCATGATTTCATAAACAGATTTTCAAATGAAACTTTAAACCCCTTTAAATTTCTTTTTTATCTTAACCTAATCCAATCGTATGGTATCTGCACAGAAATCATGCTATGAAAGAGGGTTCATCACTGGACTCAAATTCAAGAGATTACTGGAGGTCAGGAATCAAACCCAAGACAGCTTCGTCAAGGAACATGACCTCTATGCCATATATGGTGCATACGCTCTACTACCACTGTCCTAATTTCTGAGGTAATTGAAAATTAAATCCACAAACTCTCTACTCACTCATTTCTGCTTTAAACTTCACAACATGTCTCCCTAATTGGTTGATTAACATCACGTGACATCATTGCAAGTTATGCATTAGAACTAGAAAGCTGTTAAATTTTTTTATCAGCCTCTACTTTAGCTAAATTACAGCTTCATCTTGTAAAGCTGTAGCTTCATAAACATCATAAACAGATGATCATCTGTTTATGATCATGATCAAAAAGCTTATGCACAGATAATCTTTTCTCTGATCTCCTTTCGGGGAAGCACTTACAAGAATTTGTTTCCTGAAGGTGCGCTTTAAAGACGCTGCAGTCAGACTCAAGGAGAGGCTCTTTGATGAACTCGATCATTTAAGTTGATAGCTGATTGTCTGATTTTATTATCGTGTAGCTTACCAGCATAACAGTGCTTTTTCTTCTTTTACGTTTCATACAGCACATAGAGCGATGGCAGTTTGGTTTCTTCTCTTATGCTCTCCAAGAGATTACTGGAATGAGACAAGATTTTAAATCTGGGGGTGTGATGGCTGATTTCCTCTCTGCTGAACCGGACCTGTGTTGACCTGACCCAATGTTTCGGCTCTCTCAATTCAATTCAAGAGTGTTTTATTGATCTCAGAGGACAATTAGATGCAACCATCTGTAAGTTTTTTCAGACAGTCCCCGTCTGTGGTTGCAGCTGCGGGTAGGAAGGACGTACTAATTGTTTCAGTCAGGTCTGTAAAGAAAATGCTCCAGTAATCAACTAAAGATAATGGCATGGATCAGTTTCTGTAGATCCTGCTGGAAAATTCGCCCTCTAATTCTGGAGACGTTCTTCGGGTGTTAGAAGGCTGATTTTGTAACCGACTTTATGCAATCCTGACGGTTCAGGTCTGAGTCCACCCATATTTCAGGGCAGATAACTGGTTTTTACCTGCAATAACTGAAGCTGCACGCCGACTCTAAATCGTTCTTTAGGTCAGAAGATAATAACTTGAGTTGTGTTTCATACTGGCCTCCGTGCTTTAAGACAATTTTCAGATTGCTCTGTTGTAAAACTTAGAACGCTAATAAATGTGCAAGTTAACTCACCAGAAAAAGCCTTTTTTTCTCCTGCTTTCCGAAACGAAAACGTAATTTTTAGTAAACGACAGTCCACTCTCCGCCGTGTGAATCTTGCATTGTGAGATGATCACTTAACATGAAGTCAAGTGGAGAGAAGAAAACCTGAGTGGGATACAGTGGCCCAACCCAGATAAGATCCCGCACATTACTGAGGCTCTGAGTGCTTGAAAGGCTGCTGCACTGACCACAAATACGTCCATGAACACAATGCAAAGCATCAGCCCAACATGCATGTACTGCACAGACCTCAGGCGTATCGTCTGATGGGAGCACAAATTGATTAGATGAAATCTTCTGCAGATTTGTGCTTGTCTAAAGACTAAAAACGTTTCTGCTTGATGATCTTTAAGTGTTTTGCGTTAGATTTGAAGGTTAACTTAACTCCTAACCAGAGACTCCAGTCTCAAAATTAGCAAAAGCTTTTTCTTTTTGTCCATGCAACACTTTCAAAATCTTTGCCTGATGGAATAAAATGTCAGGGAGATCAATTTCCCAGTCTCTTAATCTGCCTCAAAATATAAGTGCTTCTACTTTTTTTTTTATTCTGTCGCCTAAAACAGCAGGAACTGAAGCCTCGACCTACTGGTATTGTGTAAAACAGTTTATTACCTCAATAAAATGACACAAATAAGATTATCTTCAAGTGTAGCATTTGCAATTTATTAGACCTTTGCTCAAATTAGGCCTGGGAAGTACACAGAAGTGCTGTCAGAAAGAGACGTTTATTGATTTCCAGATTGGGATCAGTAAGTGATTTCTATTGATTTTGTAATATCTACCAATGTTATAAACAGTTTATTATTTTACATCAACTCCTATGATCTAAAAAGAACCCAAAAACAAATACAACTTCAGCAAAATTATCTTCAACTGAGATTCTGAAGGCTTCACGATGCATGTAAAAACATATATTTCCAGACAAGAAAAGCAGAGCAAAGTGTTTAAGTCACACAGAAAACTTCTGAGGGATAAACTTGTTGATAGATCAGTTGTTAGGCAGCAATCAGCTGAACTGAATGGTTGCCATAAAGGAGTTCTCAAAAAAGGATGAAAGAATCAAAGCAGCATTCCAGTTATGCTTTTGATATATATGATATTATAACAGATTTTAAAAAAGGGTAGTACATAATAATTCCCCTTTAGCTTTGTTATATGACTGTGCAATAAGATGGCAAATTCTACTTTAAGCAAACCTGTCAATTAGTTAAAACAAAAACAACTGTATTCAATCAAAGTCTTGAAAGTTGTGGAAAAAATCTCGGCGAATCAAAGAAACGTGCAAGGATTCCCCCGTCGACCGTTCAGATTCGGTCACAGAGGGCCATGGCCACGCCCACAGCAGAGTCCGCGTTCTGTCCGTAAACCACCTGGAGAGGAAACGCCCTCTCCACTTCCTGCCTCAGCACCTTGTTGCGAGCGAGCGCGCTCCCGCTCCCCACCAGCCTGCGGACGCCCGCCCGCTGCAGGTGCTCCATAGGCATCATGGCGGTGACGTTGCTCACGACGCCGCGGCAAAGCGCTCTGAACACGTGGCCCAGGCCGAGGTTGGAGGCGGAGATGTTGGTGACTTGACCCAGGCGGAGGGGGTCGTGTCTCTCCCCCAGGATGGTGGGACTCACCATCAGGTCGCTGCTCTCCTGGTTCAGGGCTGAGCCAATCAGCTTCTCATACATACACATGTCCCTCTGCTCCACACCTGACAGGGTTAAAAAGGAGCAGAAGTTCATTTTCCCCACAGTAATGACTTTGCTTCGTCCTCCAAAGTACACTTAACTGGAGAACCTCTCTCAGAGCAGAGCAACAGGGAACGGCATTTGATTTTTAGATTTTTTTATTTGCCAATGTAGATAAGATTGGAGGCTTCAATTGGCTTCACCTGTATGCATCGGCCGATCAACAAACTCCCAAAATGAAGGAAATTGGGGTCAATCTATCAACTGGCCGATACTCAGAAAGTCGTGCAGCTGTCCTGGCGCTAAAGTGAGTTACAGAAAGTATAAACTTTGAACACATAGTGTTTCCCAGGCACAGTTTTCAGATGTTTATTGATAAAAGTGTTGAAAACAGTGTGTGTGTTCAGGGTAAAACTGGCTAAGCCCGGTGCTCGGACCACGAGAGCGGTCATTCGTTCAGCCGGCCGCCATGTTTGTGAGTTAAAAGAAAATGTTTAAAGTTGACAGGAAATTTGAAAATATCAGCTGACAGATATGCTTTACTGGAAGACTAGAATAGTAATAACTAAACACCAACTATGAAGTCTTAAAAAAAAGGCAATAAGAAAAAAAACCTAAAATAAAAAAACAATGCTAAACCTGGTGGGGGCTCAAGTAAAGCCTGGTGGCCCGCCAGGCTTATGATACACTATGGTAAACCCTGGTTTTACTCTGTAAAACATCTCTCACATAAAGTCTCAATAAACCACATTGAATTGAGAAAATATTAGTGGAGTAAATACATCTTTGTGAGGTGCTATTGTGTAATAAAACATACCGAGTTCTTTCATCCAGGCGGTCAACGTTTCCACAAAAGTGGCCAACGCGTTCCCGCCGTTGAGCGACGCCGCCACAGCCAAGTATGACGAGTCAAAGTAAGGGAAGTAGGAGATGGACGACTCAAACTGAGGAGAGTCAGGAGGCGTGAAGTCAGCTGGCATGGCAAACGTCAGCTGGGCTGATGTGCTTATGTTGAGAACTGGGAGATTTCCAAAAACGACAAAGCCTCTCAGATACGGAGTTTCAAATACTTTTACACTTCTTCTTTGGTGCTCCAAGTTAACAAAACTAAATCAAAAACAGCAGTACGGGACAATTCATTTCAAGCATCAATCAGATCACCTTTGTTAGGTTCTCTAGTGGAAACAAATTGATCTCCTTTCTTGAAACACATAAAGATGTAGCGTATAACGCATTAAATCACAGTGCAGACTTGACTTCCTGTTTCACCTGCGTCTGCTGGTGAACTCATGCAGGAGTAGACGGCACACTGGAAGTCTCCTAGGGCGGCCCCTACTGGCGTACCAGCAGGAATGCCGTGCCAGGCAGAACGCGTCTCTCCCACCAAGGCACCAGACGGCACACACCGAGGAAGCAGGCGCATGGGGAAGCCAGCAGCCTTCAGACTACAGCACGCACACAGGGTAGCTTGTTAAGACACACACCTCTCTGGTGGTGATGCTGGGAACCGTTAGGTGTTATTACAGCTCAAATCACACATGCACAAGACGCAGAGTATGACTTTTGACGTACACGCTCTCATTCCACTGACTGCTTGTGGTGTTGAAGAATCCCCAGCTGGCTGCATTCTGAGGCGTCATCACGCAGGAGTCCAACCCGCACAGCATGGACACCACGTAGTCCTGGATCGTACCTGCAACGCTAAAGTCCTCCAGGAATTGAGGCCTGCAGAGAAACCAAGGTGGGAAGAGGGAGAAATGTCTGTTTTATTTTGATTTTGATCAAATCACAGAGGAGAGCGCAGCCTGGATGAGATGCGCACCAACCTGTGCTTCATGTACCAGAAGATGGTCGCGCAGCCGAAGCCCGTGGAAACGCCAAGGTGAGACTCCGGCTTTGGAAGAGAAGACAGGAAGTCACTGCTGCAGCGTCCGTCCTGCCACGTGACCAGCCGACTGGTGTCTCTGGGAGTGAAATAGTTCCCATTTGACCAATCACAGCCTGCGACACAGAAAACCCCCCCGATACTTTATGTATAACTGGATGTAAACATCATTCCAGTAAAAATTCCCCTAATTAAATCTGTGTGAAGTGAATACAGCCATGAATGATGCAAATCCCAAAACATTTTATAAGTTTTTTCAGTAAGATTTTAATTTATTATCATTTTGTCTTTGTTTTGATGTATAAGTAAAATCAATTTTCACACAGTGTGACATCGCCTCTGCAACTGGGACAAATAATTAATGTCAACTATTTTCAACATGAGTGTAGAAAGCCCAAACTCTTATTTTTTAAAAATTATATACATTGTTTACCACTGATTTAGATTACGCAGATGTTTAATGTACATAGAATTATTTTTCTGTGTGTGTGAGAGAAAAGGGAGAATTATAGGATTATGCATACTTTCACTTTTAAACTTTCATGTTTTGTGTTAGCAATTTCTGCATCTATTTCCAAACCTTTCATCAAACACACCATGCATGCAAGTTTTCTAAGACAACAAATAACATAAAACTAATAAGGAACAAAGATAACTTTTGTAAAAAGAAAAAAATGTCTGATTTTGAGAAACAAACGAAAGCAAAAACAAACAGCTGCTTCACTTAGTGGAAGTTTTCAATATATAACATATATATTTTATAGCACACCTTGCTTCACATTTGGTGCCAGAGCAAGTTTGATTCATAAATTATTCATAACCTTTTATGGATAAACTAAATGTGCCTTCATAGATGGGATAATAAATGGTTTGACATAAGTTTTGCAAACACTCCCTCTTAATTCTGCCCCTATTTATTTCACACTCGGCCTTTGAGGCCTGAGTTGAAGCATGCAGAGTTCAGAAATGTCCACCGTTAATATTTAACGATTACCACGGAGATAACAAAACTCATGATTTATTTTTAGCAAGCTCTTCAGGAAGAACTACCCAGCATCAAAGTATGCACCAGATACTTTGTTTAGACAAGCTGGTTCTTCTCAGCTTATTGCAATGTAACTTTATTGTCAAATGTCAGAGCAGCCGCAGTCCAGTTACCGCTGTTTGCTTTCCAGAACAGAACTCCGTGCATCTGCCCCGAGAGGCCGACCCTGCTGACACGCTGCAGCTTGTCTCCGGGCAGCCGAGCTAAGCACCGGTTCACAGCGTCTATTATCGGACGAGAGTCCTGCTCTTTCGCCTGGGTGACACAGAGACAGAGGCTGAGCTGCGTTCACTTCCCCTCGGCCGCGGAGGGAAGTGGAGCGAGCTGCTCACCTTCACGCCGCTGCCGTCGCTGACATCGGCAGCGGTCGGTTCCGAGTGACCCGCAGCCACAGTTCTGCAGCCCGCTGCCAACAGCACAGCTTTCACCGACGTGGTGCCCACATCTATCCCCAGGACGAAGTCAGACATGACTGTGGGCTCTGCTAGCTGCTGCGCAACATCATCCTGGAGGCAAAGTCGACTTTGTTGCGTTCACGCTAAAATAAATACGTCGGAAATCTCAAGGCTATCAGAAGCGACTGTAAACAGGTTGAAAAGCTAATAAATACATTTTATTTTAGTGACTTTATTTTGACTTAAGAAGTCTTTAGTTAATCCCTGTTCTACGTGTGCTGTACTTTTGGACATGTCTTGTTATCTTGAGAGAAATTTGAATAAATCTTTCATTTGCATACGGCCATTTTTTGGTACTTATTTTCCCTGCTTAAAGTCTTTTTAACTATATTTGGGCAGGCATGTTAGATCTTTGGGATTCTTTAAACATTTCACGTGCTTTAATCTTAGATGAAGATTTGTTGAAGACAGGTCCTTTTTTTATGCGTACATATTCTGGCTTACAAATATAAAAATGTAATAAGTAAGGATTTTTTTCATGTATTTCTTGAATTGAATAACTATCGTTAAAAAATAATTATCCATTCATTGTATATTTATATTTATATAAACATATTTATTTTATGGAATTGTTACATTTATAAATATTGACACAATAGCTTATTCATGTTTTAAATTTTAGCACTTGAATAAAACCCATCTTTCTGTAGAGTTGAGTATCGTGGACATATAGCATGTCTAGCACAGTAACATCTTATTTATGACAAAATTTGGTTGGATTTTTTTGCTTTGAAATGATAATATCCTACTTTTCCCCGTCCTGCAAACACACCCCTCTTGTTTGATGACTGTCTTGTACCCACAATGCATTGCGGAGGAGCATGGTTGACTTTCGGCTAGGAGTGTCAGTCCTGAGAGGATAAATGCGCCGCGTCCGAGCTCGAGCAGCGGATATTTACTAAATCCCCAGATGCCCGACGGTGAGAAGTGACCTTGTGTGCCGTTATTATTATGCCGCAATAATTTCATCGAGTGGAATCGGAAAACTTCGTTAAAATCCGGTGAGTGCTCGTGACTGTTGGCGAGGGCTAACAGAGCTAGCCTGTCAGCAGCAGAAGTGACAGGAATGTAAAGCAGCAGTTTTGAGTTAAGGTGCAGTCAGACAAACTCATGGTCACATTGGAGCACCGAGAGCTTACTTGGTGGTTGGCGTCCCGGCCGGTGATGTTACTGTGATTTTAGGGATTTGTTTATTTGTACAGAAGCTAACTAGTAGCTCCATTTCGGCCTAAACTAGCAATAGCCAATTCTACCAGTTATTTTGTTACTCTTGACGTTCATATTTGGTTCCTTTGACGTTTCTGTACTTCAGTTGTTTTATCTTTGTGATTAATCTTTTTTTAAACGCATCAGTTCGACCTTACTAACTAAGCAACTGTAGGCTTATTAAGGAGAGGTTTAATATATTACCTGGTTTTTAATCCAACTTTATTTTAAACGCTATAATAGTGGGGCAACGTTTATTTAGAGGCTTTGACCAAATAATCTGCGTATTATTTAAAGCTCTCACTTGTCAATATTGACTTTGGATTCAGATTTTTCTTCAAGATTTACACACAATTTTTATTTTTTTTAATTTGAGTATAAGGATATGCCTTTCTGACAATGAAATTATAAGTGGTGGTTAATAATATAAATGGACAGTAATGTTAATGTTACAGAGTTGTCTCTCTGCTATTGCTGCTTGAAATCTGAGTAAATTTACTTTTTTTCAGTTTCTATAGACAATGAAACTGAAGAAATTCAGTAAAACTATAAGTTGTCATGGGGCAAAAGGGAACTGGAATTAATCAGATAAATGTGTCCATGTACCTTTTTAAAACCTGTAACAGCTGTTTATGGTGCATTTCACTCTCATCGTGGCAATATAAATGTGTAAAAACAGCAATTGTTTAGTTAAGATTGGACGAGAGTAGCCTGACCCTGCAAAATGTTTCCTCTAACGACAGCGCCCTCTGGTGGTAGACCAAAGCCAAGATGGCAGGAGTTGGGGCCAAGCGAGAGGGACCACAGTTCATCAGTGAAGTGGCGGTGAGGGGCAACGCCGCCGTGCTGGACTACTGCCGCACCTCCGTTTCCGCCCTGTCGGGGGCGACGGCCGGCATCCTCGGGCTGACGGGACTGTACGGGTTCGTTTTCTACTTCCTCTCATCCTTCCTGCTCTCCCTGCTGCTCATCCTCAAGGCCGGACGGCGGTGGAACAAGTGCTTCAAATCGCGGCGGCTGCTCTTCACCGGAGGGCTGGTCGGAGGGCTTTTCACCTACGTCCTGTTCTGGACTTTCCTGTACGGAATGGTGCACGTTTACTGAGACGCCCGCCCACAATCAGCCCTGAAATGTTTCGATATGAAGCTGTGTAAATGATTAGATTTGTCTAGCCTGCTGCTGTTCGTAGCTCAATCCTGTAGTGAGAAGACTTTAAATATTTCTGTTGTGAGTAGATGGTTTAATGGAGGAAGAGTCAGTTTTACTGTAGGTAGCATTATTTGTCCTACTACAGCTACCAGTAACATGACCACAGTGAATAATAGCTTAGCTTGTAAAATCCTAATAGAGTGGCAACATTTTCTTGTAAAACGTGTTGAATATTGCAACTGATTGAAATAAAAACTTCTTTACACATTGCTTTCCGTTAATCTCTTGATGAGTCAGGCGGTAAGTCAACATTATGTAGATCAGACTGAAAAAAAACAACAACTCAGCATCCATTCAAACACATCCAACCACAGAGAACGAAGAAACGCAGCAATCGGCTTCATTTACATGGTCAAAACACTTTGTGGCCACCTGCTGGAAATCAAATTGCAGATAAAAAGTAGCAGCATTAACAGTTCACATAAATCATTTTCACTAAATAGTGTTGTTGGAATAGAATTTTAAGTTAGCACAATACTGCACAGGATAGTTTTTGATACATATGAAATATAACATAGAAAGTTAAAGTATACTCTATGTTCACATAAATTTAGATACCACTAGAACAACGGCCCACTGTCTGAACGCAGATGGATTCTTGGAGGAGGATTAGACAGAAAACACAGACCTAGACTCCTTGGATCTCTTTAGATAAGGAGCCTATATGCCAGGCAATTAACAAATTCCTTAGCATGGTTCAAAAGTTCACTAGGATCTTAAAACTTTTTATAAATAATTTTATATATATTAGAATTAACTATATTTCTTTAAGCATGTTTTTAATTAGTTACTTATTAGATCCAAACTTATAGTCATTATTTAGCATACATTTTGTGCAAGCTTGGTTAAAAATACAAACTACTTTCTTGTGGAAACATTTTGAGGCAGAGATAGCGCTGCAGCTGCAATCATATATCAAACTGGACAGCGGCTGATAGGAGAAGGGTTTTCCATATATCTGCCTTTGGGGCTCTTTAGCAGGAGGTAATAAAATTAACATTGAGACAGCCCACACAAAGGAAAAGAACACACCTCCTAATGCATATATTTAAATGAGGAGAATACGCATTCTATAAATGATTTGTTTTACAGCAGAAGTTGGAATCTCTTTGTGCTGAGTGAGAGTTTCCCGGAGGATGCATCTTCTGTTAATCTTTTGTCTTTTTACTCAGTTCTTTGTCTCTGTTTTGTAATGTCTTGGACTTTTGATAATCTAGGTGAGATGATTATTGTAACATTCTTCTTGCATTGATTTTCTCTGGATAAAACTCTGAATATCTGAAGTCTGACGTCGTATGATTGCTCTTTTCTCTCTGCACACTTACACAGACACAGGAATTCGGGACAAAGAATTAAGTAACGAGCTAAATCAAGTTATCTCCTCTTTTTAATTCTTAACAGTGTCCAACACAAAAACCCATTTCTTTTGTTTTTTTAAACCTATTGCTTCTAAAAGCATCTTTGACACGTCTGTTACAAATCATGTACCCTGACCTTTTCCATTTCTACATCTTCCGTTCAAAAATGTTCACATTTTACACAAATGACTTAGTTTTAAGAAAAACGTAACTTTTCCTAAAAACTTAAGTTTCTAAGAAAGCTTAGAAACTTACGAAACTAAGCACAAGGTTTTAAGATTAGCCTCCAAATTTGAGTTTTTTTTCTATCTGCAATGGCCCGTATATTGGATTTGCCAGCGATTCAGTTTTTGTGAAACAGCTACCAAAGGAAGTGTTGACTTTACAAGTTGTACGATTAGTTTACAGCTCGCAACATCCGACAGTCGCATTATCAACACAAATACACGTTTGATATGAGGTTTGGGTGCTTGCGTCGTACAGATGTGCCCGTGGCGCAATTCGTCATGCAACTTTACGAACGGACCCTTTAATGTCACCACTCACGGCCACTGGTACCATCTCCATTCACAGTCATTTTCAAGCCTCACTAGTCTGCCCCACATTGTTGTCTTGATAAACATTCAACTCTTACAAAGTTTTAGTTTAACTAATTGAACATGATGATCACCCTCCTCCTATGACTGCCTGGTCCCTTGTGCTGCAGAACATTTGAGATTTCCCTCCTTCAACACATCAGTCAAAGACCGGGCCATCAGCAGACGTCAGTGTGACACTGGGATCCGCAGCGTTAAAAGAGACGTCTGCAGTCCAGGAGTCTTCAGTTCCCCCCCCCCCCAAGCTAGTTGTGCGAAGAGAAACTGATGTGATGCTTTGGCGCCGCGCCTTGTTTGGACTGGACGGCTGAATATCGCTGTCCCGTGTTGCGTGGGACGGTGGGACCCCGTTTCTCCGCGTGGCTCTCCTCAGGAGCAGACGTCTCCACCGTTAGCTCGGTTTCCTCTGGCTTTTTGATGGAGTTGGCTGCGTCTTTGTCCACGGCAGCTTTTCTGGATCTCCGATCCCGGTTGCTTGCTTTATCGTCCTTCTGCTTACTTTTCTCTTTTCTGTAAAAAAAAATATATAAATGAATAGAAAAGCTTGAGTGGAGGCGAAAAGAATCACTGAGGAGAACCTTGTGCCATTGAGCCATACTTAAAGCTGATTATTTCAAACTTCTTGTCTCGGTAGAGGGAGCTTGTGTTCATCATGTAGAGAAGTATCATGTCACACACAAAGGCTCCCTGCAAGACAAACATGAGACCTGAACTCTCAAACCCACAGCAGAATACTTATTTCTTTTCAGAAATTGTACAGCAAAGCCCTGAAAAACTATTCGTGTTGCTTTTACTTTTGTCACGTAATCACAGATTTCAATGTACTTTTAGATTTTACAGCCATAAACCAACACAGTGTACTGCATCATTGGGAAGTGGAATTGAAATCATGCATGGCTTGAAACCGGTGGTGCAGCGAGCTTTTCAAAAGTGCAGAGGGTGTGAGATGATTGGGACTGCGGCACAGGATCACATCACAGTGACTCAAGAAAGTGTAGAAATCTTACCTGAAATGCATAAACCACATTCATTTCCTTCACTACTTACTACTAGGCAACAAAATTTTAAGTGTTCTATGTTCTATTGTGTTTTTCTGAAATTCTGCAGTTTTGATTTGTAATTTCTGTCACTTCCTGGGGTATTTTTACTTGTTGGCTGCGATTGGCCCTATTTTATCTAAGGAATATGCTGATTGGATGAAAATAACATGATTTCCAGTTGATGAATTTTGGAAGACATGCATTGTACACCATTTTGGCCTTGTTGGTGTTCCATACATGAGGAGCAGAAGCATCGAGGCCGAGCGTGTGTCAGACGTGATTTTAGCGATAAAGTGCAAGAAACCTAATTATTGTTTGTTTGCAAAGATTGCGCACCGACATCAGTTACACCTGCTGGAAGGAAGACAAAGCCACAGAGCCGACACTGAAAAATAAAAAGTTTGAAAGTGTCTATGATGCAAAAAAGCTCAGGGTGTCCAAATATATTTGCGGTGCACTGCATCCACTGCATATTTTATTAAATTACTTACGATACCCATCAGGGCAACACCTGAGCCAATCGCAATTATTGTAGGAACGATGTTGAATTTCCCAGCCTGCAAAACATCAACAATACATTTATTTTATTTGGAGAATCACACACAGCATGTAAATTATGTACAGGACAGATCAGTGTTTTTTGTTTTCATTTAAATATTTTCAGTGTTGTCATGAATGGATTACTCGGAGAGCAGGAACTCATTAAAATGAGATGAAAAGCTCGTTAAAACAAGAATTTCTTGAAACAAAATATAAAACTTGATTGAGATGGAAACCAAAAATATTTCCTCGTTTCCATTAGATCATATTAAACTGACTCACAGATTTGAACATAGCAGCAGGTTTGGTCTCTAAATAGCAACAGATTTCAGCTGGTTTCTTTTCTTTCAATGCCTTTTGCACATTAATTTCTTCATATGTTCAATACCGACATGTTCAACACTTCTTTTACCCGCTGTACCTTCCGTATGAGTTGCTCATGTTACTGCTTTACCTTCCCATTGATCATGATGTCAAATCGAATCCCATACACTTTGTACAGCGTGCGAAAAGTTTCACCATTTTGATCTTTGTAATATCTCGCATGTCTGGAGGAGAAAAGGAAAACGGTTCAGGTTAACCAAATATGTAAAAATAAAAAGGAGAAAGTTAAGCAGAAGCATCATGGAGGCGCACCTGAAGTTGTATCCTGATGTAATGGAGTTGTTTAAGTTCATGTCCAAACGGGTGAAGCTGTACTGTGGATTACACTCCGACGAGTCCTTATCCAGGTCGCAGTTCCACTCGATGAGAATACCGATAGAGCCGCCCTGTCGAACACACACACAGTGAACCGAAGGGAAGACGGTACATTTGGACAACAAAGTGACAGGCCTCGAGCATCATGAAATTAAGAAGGCCACGAATAACGCCTGAGGAGTTGTGTTCCTCCACTTCATTTGGGTTTATTCAACTTAAGCTTATTTTCCTGCCACTTGCTAATTAGGTGAGGTCATTTTATTTATGTAGTGCCTTGTTGCTCAAAGAGCTTTACACGAATTAGAAGAAAGTACAACAGCAAAGGAAAGAGCAGAATTGGTTGAAAAAAAAAAGAAAGAAAGAGGATATGGCTCCACTTAGTTTAATCACCTCCAGTGTCTACAAGAGACTGACATTCAAATTTCTCTCCTTCCCTCACGATCCCCATCATTGACGAGATGTTGAACTGAACAGTTCTTTTAGTTTGTATGTGTTACATAACATCCAGGGGGATTTTTATGAATGCCGCGAGAAAAAAATAAATAAATAAAATCAAGTGAGACCAGTTGCTTCTTTCTACCTTAACAGCCATCTCCTGGAAGTCATGTCCGGTTCTGCTGACCAGATCTCTGAGGCGGAAGATGGGGCAGTAGGGATGGTTCTCCGTGTCATGGAAGCATGTCTTTAGGTAGCCCTCATCAGATGTTTCAAGGACATTTGACCTAAGCAGGGAGAAAAGAAGTAAAAACGGGCCATTCTTTCAGATATGAATAGTGACAAATATCACTCAAAAGAAATTAGATTATGTAATTTAACACCTTGAAATTGGGTCACTGTTGCTTTAAAAACTCCTGCTCTTTCTGAAACTCCGCCTTCAGGAAGTCATCACAACATGGCTCCTGTATTAACCTTTTAACAACATATTTACCAGCTCTGCACTGAGAAGTAGCTCGTATAATGAGCTCAGGAGATGTGCTGTTCCATTACGTGTTTGCTAATTGCTGCTGACTAGTCTGAAGGAGCTGAGTGACAGAGTGGGAAGGAGGAGCTTCTGAGTGGCTCTGAGGAGGAGTTTCATCCTCAAAATTGGTGCTGGGCCACTCAGGTGGAATCAAGGCTTTCTCAAACATGCATGAAGGAATCAAAGCAACAGCACATGTATGTTTTTGATTAGGGAACAACACGATAACGTGATGTAAAGCTAAGAGTCAGTTTTACATGATGGTGCCCCTTAATAGGTTCAAGAATTTTATTTTCTGATGCAATGCTTCCCTCCTTCACAAAGCTGCAGAGAGACTCGTGTGGGCATGTCGCTAAAAACAACAGATGCAACCTGATTTATGCAAACTACTGAATGGAGGATGCATCTCAAGGCCATCTGACCTCTATTGTAAACTTTTGGAAAGCGGAGAACTCGTAATATTTCTTATTTAAGACCTGCTGCAACCTGAACACCTCCTCCTGTAGCAGCACACAAGATTCCCGGTGTAACTGAATGCGTCTCACTGTCGGGGGTGTTGTATTGCCAGCCATTTTTAGTGGCGGTCACCAAGTGGCGTCAAATTACTCCTCTATTGCCGTAATGTCTCGGCATGCTACGCTTCAAGAAGATGCATGTGTAATCCGACGGAGCTCCCGATTGATGAGTTAGGAACGATGTCCAGCAGCGGTCCGCTCCCTCCTGAGGGACGCGGACGGCAAGCGGCACCGGTCCCACTCTCTGGGCAAACCCAGTCTGATCCGACACCTGTCCAAACCAAGGGCTGCCGTCAAGGACGTCTCCGATGACTGTTTGACTGTCTCGCTGAGAGCAATGCACATGCCGGTATAAATAGACGACTCAGCACCCTAAAGCTATTTAAAGCAGCCACTGAAATATGTATAGCCCCTTTCAGAACCACAGGCACAGGAGCCGTCAGCGGCCACTTATAGCGACTTACTTTGAGAATTCAAACTTGGGGAACCGGATGAAGTTCTTGATGTAGATGGTGAAGTTTTCTGCTTCGCTCAGTAACGGCTCTCTGTAGTAAAAAAATAAAATAAAAAATAAGTAAAAGAGAAAGGAAAAAAAGAGGCAATATAAGGAGGTTGTTTCAGAAATAAGAGCTCTGCTAGGACTGGGAAATATGATTGAAAAATAGAATCTCAGGTTTTCCATATTAGATACGATTTTTTTCTCTCCCTTCTCTCTTCTTTAATTAAGAAAAATTACAAATATTTTTTCTTAAATTGCTTTTATTTATGTTATTGTTTCTAGGAGTTGACATGGACTCAAAGTCCAACCAAATACAAGCTGTAAAATGTGCTTCCAAAGCAAAATGGCAGAAACAAAAGGAGTTCATTGGTAAAAGAAAAGAAAAAAAAAATCAGATTTTCCAAGAATTTAATCTTTTTAAACAGAAACCTTGGTTAATCAATAAAATCTGTTCATCGTCCGGCTCTGAGCTCTGCTGCATATCAGAGGAGTATTTAGTTGAGTTTATGATGAGTCAGGGTTCAGACAGCAGCACACAGGGGGTGGAGGATCCTTACGTTGGCCTCTGGCTGTACTCAATAGGACACCAAGCGTGAATCTCACAGGTCCCTGTGCTGTTCAAACACAAGCCCGTCTTTATTCCTAAAACAGACAAACATCCCTTTCTTAACCTCTGTAATGTGGCAAAACAAGCTGATGGCAATATTTCACACTTGGATGAAATATACTCCCAAATCAATGCTTTGATGAAGTAGTAAAGCAGTTTGTTGTTGAAATATTCTCCAATGTTTCACATGCACAGCGGCCATCTTGAATCTAAACCCTCGACTGGTTGTGAAGCTCAGGCTTTCCAAGCTGATCACTGATTTTATTTTCCCCAACATTAAACACAGAAATTCTGACTCCAGACTATAAATTAAATTCACCGTGTCACATAAATGATATTTTCTTGTCAACATTTTCAAATGTTCATGTAGAAAATGGGTCAATATTAAACATCTGCTTTTTCAAATTTTCAAAGAGCTTTTTCTTGACAAGTTTTAAAAATGATATTAATTAAAATGATCACGTATTGCTTTCTGGGACCTTAGATAAATTGTGCTCCTATTTTCCTTTTTTTGGGCAATTTTTTATGCTAAAAGAGACATCTAAATTTATTGAAGCATCAAAAATGGTGACATGGTGAATTTTTTAAAAGTTACAGTTAAAGCTCATTTGATATTTTTATGGTGTGTAAAAAAAATGTAATTTTTTTTGCACAATTTACAACAATATGCCTATCATGTATGTGTGTGGTACCTCACTTTTGGTTTCATATAAATAACATACAAGCGGCAGTATTTCTATTACAAATTAACGAATGCCACGCCGTTTTAGAAGGTAGCTTGCCTTAACTCAAAAACCGACTTCATCTTTGAGTTTTTGGTAGTTTTTCAGACTTGAATTTCTGACGTTTCTAAAAAAAAAAAAAAAAGAATGACTCCTACCATGTCCGGCTGTCACACTTTCCCCTTCAGGGCAGTCGTCGTCGCTTTGGCATCGTCCATCCGGTACCTTAAAACTCTAAAGGAGGAGCAGGAAAGGTTTTCACAATGGAATTGCTACATTAAAAAATTGTTGTTTTTTTTAAATCTCAGTGTAGGTACTCACCTCAGCACAGAAGCCCAGCCTCTGATTCGGGGTCTCTATGTAATTTGTTACAATAAAAAACACCTGCTCACCCTGCAGAATTCAATTAGGTTTAGAAGAAGAAAGTAGAAGGTTAAGCACATTACACTGTTCAATACTGCTGAGACAGACATTGAGGCTAATGCCACATGGCGAAAAAGACATTCTCATTAACAGCTGGGCAGACTGAAGGAAGGTTTTGAAACAGCATTTGTTCAAGTTGCAACCATTGCACGACAAACTAAAATAATTTTTTACAGCACAGTAAACTAAAAGGGAAGTGGTAAGGGTTCAACACTTAAAATGTATGTGTGCATTTTTATTTAGCCCCCTTTATTCTGATGCCCCTAAATAAAATCTACTGTAACTAACCTCTTTCACGTCTCAGCTAAATAGTCAATAGAGTCCACCTTTGTGTCATTTTATCTCAGTATGAATGCAGCCGTTTTCTGAAGCGTGTGTGTCGCCCGGGGGCCAAATTTGGCAAGCAATAGCTTTTTATGTGGCCCTGCAGACTCCTAATGACACCGACGAGTCCCTCCAGTTTTTCCACAACTCTGCAAAATTCACAGAAAATCAACCGATTCCCACATTTTTCCCGATTTTACTGCAATATTTGTTCTCAAAATAGTCCAAAACTTTGAGTTTAAGTGACTTCAGTTTTACTTGATGTCAAGTTGGAGTTTGTGACTGATAGGGCGATTAATAAAATGTCACAATTAACATCTTACATTTGTGCAAATATTGTAAAATTTCCTTACAAATATTTCTAAATTAGCACCACAAAATTGGTGATTTTGATTGCCAAAAAAAAAACACAATCACAAAATCCTGGACTTACAGACCAGTGTCAAAATATGTTCAGTATTATTTGAAGCTGAAACAAGCAGCTTTTTATTGATATTTTATCGATTTAATGGATTTTAATCAATACATTCTGGCACAACTGGCCTTTTAAGAACATTCAGACTTTTTGATTTGGCCCAAAATGAAACTGAGTTTGACACTCCTGCCCTCCACTTTGGTTAAAGAACATCAGTGAACAAACGATATCATTAAGAAAGCAAAACACACAATCGCCTTCATTATTTATTTATTTATTTATTTATTTTATGTCCAGTATTTTATAAATTGCATGAACGTATCTTTAAAGGACTGGACCGGAGCAGGTTTGGCTTACAGTTGTGACCCAGTCCAAACCTAAATCAGAGTTTAAAAGTTTCTAGTTTCAAATTTATGTTCACAAACACCCTCACTCTCATTTGACTGACCTTGAGCAAAAAAAGTCAGACCAGGTGTAGATGCCAGGTAAAGATGTACAAAAACAGACTTGCAGCAGAAATGATGTATTGAACAAAGCGTTAACTTTGTACTTTTAGATTTGGTCTATAATATAAAGTCTGAAACACTGACGTTTGAAATGTATGAACTTGACAATAAAATACTCACATTCGGAGGTATGACGTAATCCTCTGCGCTCCACAGGTAAGGCCCCGTCTCCGAGGTGTTGGTCAGAGACACGCCTTTGAGCTTGGTGATGACCGACGTCTGGATCGCCTCCTCCCTCTCCTGGTAGCCTTTCTTCATCACAAACACCCATCTGAAACATTATCATCATCATCATCACTCACTGCGTTTTCCATCCCCTCAAGCTGCAACTATGTTCTGCAGCCTCAACAGGACACGGTCCTCATCAGCAAGGACCAACAGGCTCCTGTCAATGTTTTCTGAGTGCAGTGGTGGTTTGAAGTGACTTCTCTGTGCTGATGCATGTCCCAGGAGTTACACCGCCATACAAAACAATGCCTGAATCTGAGACCTGCATGCCATTAGAAAAAAAAACAGTTTACAACAGCCAGAGGCTTTGCCATCTTTGAGTTTGGGGTCAAAGTTTATGGCAAATGTAATGTCATATCAATAAATAAATTATATATCATAGCATAAAATCTATGGTGTAATAAAAAAAGTACACAATATTCAATCCCGACTTGCTTCAGAATAAAGTAAAAAGAAAAATAAAAAAAAAAGCAACTTTAAAGCCTCCGGCTGTTTCAAATGGTCCCATAAGCCCTCCTATTTTTAACCCGGCCATCCACTCTGCGCCTCTGTGGTCCACGCAGCAGAACTCACCCGATTATGTATCCGAGCACGGCCAGCTGATAGAGCCGAAACAAAATCCCGATCTTCCTGTTTTCGGCGATGACATATTTCTCCGTCTTGAAGTTGAGGAGAGAGAAGAAGAAGCCCCCGCAGCCCGCCATTAGTGGCGCCTCTGTCAGCGGAATGAGACAGCGGCAGGTCCCAGCCTCCCTCTCTCTCTCTCTCTCTCTCTCTCTCTCTCTCTCTCTCTCTCTCTCTCTCTATCTATCTATCTATCTATCTATCTATCTATCCCCGCTGATATGCTGCAGCTGGGTCACTTGTCATGACAGACAGACAGCAGTCAGTGTGAGGTGCAGAGGCGTTTTGCAAGTTCAGCTAAAAAAAAAAAAAAAACTTCGAATGTTATGGAAGCCCGTTTCTGTCACTCTGTTAAAAAAAATAAAATAAATGATCTCATTCTGATGAAATCTCAAAATAACGAGATGCTATCTCATTATTGGCAGAAACGGGGCTCCATAGAATGTCTTGGGGACATAAAGATCCATGTTTTTGTCACTCATTTCACAAAGAGAAACTCGTGTATGATTTACTGCAGGCTGAAATACTCCATGCCTGTATTCTGTTTTGTTTTGTATTTATTTGGTTTGGGGCCCAAAAAAAAAGGCTCGTGTGTTCAAAAGCCCAACCACTACGCTTGGAAGTTAATGTATTGGCAAATCTTCTAAAAATATTGGACTTTGTTCCAAACTTTAGTGAAATATTATTGCCCCATTACACATTTGATCTACTTTTTTAACATTGACACATTTCAGATCATTCAATAAGTTTTCACATCACACAAAGATATCATTTTCTTGAGGATATTCAATATTCAATTTAAAGGGAAGTATCAATATATAATTGCACACTGACTCTAGTAACAGGTTGTGCCACATATACCTGCTAGAATAGCCAAGCATTTGTGGTATATTTTTTATACAAAACTTTGAAACAAAAGGTATAAAGAGATTTTGTTTTACTTTTAAACAGCTTAATTGTTTTTTTTTTTTTTTTTTACCTAATACAACTAAATTTATAACTGGAGAACAGAATTGATCAAGGCATTAGGTTGTTTTTTTTTTTAAATACCTTTACTATATGTACCAGGATGTATACTGAAAAGGTTGACCACTGTCATTTCTGGATAATGACCAAAGTGGGGTTTTGCTGGGGTCAAAACATCTCAGATCAGGACATGACAGGTTAACTTTTGGGGGCCTTTCTTTTAATGGCTTTCTCAGGAGCTAAAAGACAAACGTCAAATTGATGACCAAGGCTTCTAGACACCATTTATCCCTTCTATTTTTTTTTAAGTCTGGCAGTAATTAATCAAAGGTGGGACTAGAATTCAAGACTTTAGGCATATAAATTGGTTTGGATAAGAATAATTAACAAAAGTCTTCAAAACTTTGAGAATTACTTCCTAGTCCACCATTTCAGCAGGCTGGTATTGCAGTCTAAACAGAAAAGCCAGACGAGTGTAACAGATTCATTAGTTATCGATGGTAACACAGCGCCATCTAGAGGTTTTTACATGAATCTCAGATTTATGGAAACGACTGAAGGCAAAGGATTTTTTTTCTCTGGTAATTTACTCAGTACTTTTATGTAATACTCAGACAACTACAGGAAATAAGGCAAACAAAATCAATTTATTGTGATCTCACTTTATTAGGTGCATTTGTCATGTAAAGTGAATAAAATATTGAACTCATTTACTGGCCACCCCTCAGACGGAGAACCAGGTGGAGGGTAGATTCTTTCTGGATGTTGTAGTCGGACAGGGTGCGGCCATCCTCCAGCTGCTTGCCAGCAAAGATCAGCCTCTGCTGGTCAGGGGGGATGCCCTCCTTATCTTGGATCTTGGCCTTGACGTTCTCAATGGTGTCGCTGGGCTCCACCTCCAGAGTGATGGTCTTGCCAGTGAGGGTCTTGACGAAGATCTGCATGCCACCCCTGAGACGGAGAACCAGGTGAAGGGTGGACTCCTTCTGGATGTTGTAGTCGGACAGGGTGCGGCCATCCTCCAGCTGCTTGCCGGCAAAGATCAGCCTCTGCTGGTCAGGGGGGATGCCCTCCTTATCTTGGATCTTGGCCTTAACATTCTCAATGGTGTCGCTGGGCTCCACCTCCAGGGTGATGGTCTTGCCAGTGAGGGTCTTGACAAAGATCTGCATGCCACCCCTGAGACGGAGAACAAGATGGAGGGTAGATTCTTTCTGGATATTGTAGTCAGACAGGGTGCGGCCATCTTCCAGCTGCTTTCCGGCAAAGATCAGCCTCTGCTGGTCAGGGGGGATGCCCTCCTTATCCTGGATCTTGGCCTTAACATTCTCAATGGTGTCGCTGGGCTCCACCTCCAGGGTGATGGTTTTACCAGTGAGGGTCTTGACAAAGATCTGCATGTTTGCGCCTGAAATAGAAAAGAAAGTGAGGATCCCGAGGTATTTTTCCCCAACTTCCCGTTTATCTTGCTTTAACTGTTGAGGTGGGAGAAGTATTTATCACCCCGTCGATATTGACTCGACATAAATCTATCGTCATAATTTAATTACTTGTCTATTCAGGAAAGACACGGCGTTTAAAAACCGTCAAGTCGAACAGTTTCTGTTCAGTGTTCAGAGCGAACTGACTGGTTAGAGGGCGGCGATTCAAGCATAAACGCCATTTTGGAAAAAGCCATTGTTTGCCTTCCTGCTTTCAGTCGAATGGATGACACAGCTAGAAATACAGTCGTGTAGTTTCTGAAGACCAACAGCTGTTCTGTTTAACGGCGTCATTAAAATTGCCGACAGAAAAAGAGAACCCGCCAACCAAATGGCTTGAAATTGTTATTCCTCGTTGCTAACCACCATACGTTTTCCGGTTATTAGACGTCAGCTGACAAGGAAAAACAAATGAAGCCGACCGGAGTAAAAAGTAATTTAAACGAACTATACGAAACAAAAGCTACTCAAGAAAACGGTTAACTATATAGTGACAGAAAACATAAAGCACAAAACACCAGACTTACAATTTTTCACAGCTCGTCCACTAAATTGCTCAAAAACGGCGAATTCCGCTCTCTGACTGCTGTTGCTAAGAGGCGAGCGTTTTTATACCCTTGATGCGTCCATTAGGTGGTATTCATCCGCTCACGAAAATAGTCCTCTTTTTTCACCCTTTTTTAAAGTTTTTGTTCTGTACACCGTTTTTTTATTAATTACTTTTATTACATAACCAGGTTATATATATATATTTAAAATCCCTGAGCCCATAAGATACTATTCAAAAAGGTGCGCAAAACCCCAGTTTTAAAATGAATGAACCATACTCAAAAATTTAGTTACAGGCATCAGCTTTCTAAAAACGCGTGGTTGCCAAACTTCACACAAGCCCCACACAAGCGGTGGCTCTTGAAAACCTGGATGAGCACTTATCTCTCCGCCTAGAATATATCATTGATTTTACATGAATTTTCTTACAATATTTTTGAGAAAACTGGGGATCCCAATCAAAAAAACTTACTAGATTGGGCAGATTTGGAATGTATTATACCCTGAATGTATTAAAGGGATCTGAAATGTACTTCAGATCCCTTTAAAACAAAAAGGAGCAGCATAATAACTCTTGAATTAACTAATAGAAATATTGAATCCAGCAGCTTCCAGGGCAGGCCCAAGGCATATGCGAAATAAGCGGCTGCTTAGATTCCCCACACCACCATGGAGGCGTGAGCAACAAACTAGCATGATAGAAAAATATATATTTAAAATAACATTGAATAAGGCAATAATTTCTTTATTGTTTTTATAGATTATAATGATTAATCTCTTCCTGTTGATGGATGCTGCCACTTTTGGGAAACAGACATTAAATTTAGTGTTTATCAGTTGATGTTATTTTCAAATAGTTAAAATAAAATGGCATACTTACTCTGCATTTTAAAATATAATTCTTTTTTAAATTTGTTACTCCAGTAAGGTTGAAATTAAGTCATAATAGTACTAGTATAATATATGATAATTACAAATAATGCTAAAGATAGCAGGTACATAGGAGCGATAGTGAGATCCATGTAACATGATTTCAATAGTCTGGAGAACTTCTCTTATGTACTGTATCTCATGTATTTATCAGTTATCTGATGATGTGTCTATTCCACCTCTCATTGATTGTGTGACAGGGTATGTTTATGATGTTGTGACCAACAAAATGGAGGTGTGCCTGGCCGGCATCTGACCAAAGGTAATACCTAACCAATTCAGAATGTTGGAAGTTATCAAAAAGTTGACAAAATATATAAAGTTTCAGCAAAATGTAGTGGCTTTCATTCAAAAAGCTAATTGTTTCACCTTTTGGCCAATTGATTCTTCAAAAAATTTAAAATATGTGAAAAATTTGTATTTTAATCAAGCTCGAGTTGTCCATTGACATTTAATTTTCTCGGGAGCTAGCGTTGCTTTAACACTAACTCCAACTACATTGAAAATTTACACATTTTAAATTACACTCAAGAGTGTAGTTGAATCCCTGCAGTTTATCACACATTCAAGTCTTTTAATCAGTTTGACAGTCACATCTGCTAATACTCTTAAAGGAAAAGCCTTTAAGAGTTTATATTCATTACTGATTTAAATATTTTATGGTTAGAGCTGAATGCTTTCAAAAAGCAAATTCAGATATTCTAAACTTTGTTTTATAGAACTGGGGAAAAAAATACTTAAGACATTTTGGAATGAAAGGTGTCCCTAATTCTGACAAATGAACCACATCAGAAAGATAAGTTCAACGTTTTATTATGTGATATGAATACACACTTTGGTCACTTAAGTTGTAACATTTTTGTAATTTTTACATGTCATACACTACATGTTGACATGGGAAACAAATTAAGAGAACATGGAATCATTTTCTTTTTTTGTAAAGAATCATTTACTGGCCACCCCTGAGACGGAGAACCAGGTGGAGGGTAGATTCTTTCTGGATGTTGTAGTCGGACAGGGTGCGGCCATCTTCCAGCTGTTTGCCGGCAAAGATCAGCCTCTGCTGGTCAGGGGGGATGCCCTCCTTATCTTGGATCTTGGCCTTGACGTTCTCAATGGTGTCGCTGGGCTCCACCTCCAGGGTGATGGTCTTGCCGGTGAGGGTTTTCACGAAGATCTGCATGCCACCCCTGAGACGGAGGACAAGATGCAGGGTAGATTCTTTCTGGATGTTGTAGTCGGACAGGGTGCGGCCATCTTCCAGCTGCTTGCCGGCAAAGATCAGCCTCTGCTGGTCAGGGGGGATGCCCTCCTTATCCTGGATCTTGGCCTTGACGTTCTCAATGGTGTCGCTGGGCTCCACCTCCAGGGTGATGGTTTTACCAGTGAGGGTCTTGACAAAGATCTGCATGCCACCCCTGAGACGGAGAACCAGGTGGAGGGTAGATTCTTTCTGGATGTTGTAGTCGGACAGGGTGCGGCCATCTTCCAGCTGTTTGCCGGCAAAGATCAGCCTCTGCTGGTCAGGGGGGATGCCCTCCTTATCCTGAATCTTGGCCTTGACGTTCTCAATGGTGTCGCTGGGCTCCACCTCCAGGGTGATGGTTTTACCAGTGAGGGTCTTGACAAAGATCTGCATGCCACCCCTGAGACGGAGAACCAGGTGGAGGGTAGATTCTTTCTGGATGTTGTAGTCGGACAGGGTGCGGCCATCTTCCAGCTGTTTGCCGGCAAAGATCAGCCTCTGCTGGTCAGGGGGGATGCCCTCCTTATCCTGGATCTTGGCCTTGACGTTCTCAATGGTGTCGCTGGGTTCCACCTCCAGGGTGATGGTCTTGCCGGTGAGGGTCTTGACGAAGATCTGCATGCCACCCCTCAGACGGAGGACCAGGTGAAGGGTGGACTCCTTCTGGATGTTGTAGTCGGACAGGGTGCGGCCATCTTCCAGCTGCTTGCCGGCAAAGATCAGCCTCTGCTGGTCAGGGGGGATGCCCTCCTTATCCTGGATCTTGGCCTTGACGTTCTCAATGGTGTCGCTGGGTTCCACCTCCAGGGTGATGGTCTTGCCAGTGAGGGTCTTGACGAAGATCTGCATGCCACCCCTGAGACGGAGAACCAGGTGAAGGGTGGACTCCTTCTGGATGTTGTAGTCTGACAGGGTGCGGCCATCTTCCAGCTGCTTGCCAGCAAAGATCAGCCTCTGCTGGTCAGGGGGGATGCCCTCCTTATCCTGGATCTTGGCCTTGACGTTCTCAATGGTGTCGCTGGGCTCCACCTCCAGGGTGATGGTCTTGCCAGTGAGGGTCTTGACAAAGATCTGCATGCCACCCCTGAGACGGAGAACAAGATGGAGGGTAGATTCTTTCTGGATATTGTAGTCAGACAGGGTGCGGCCATCTTCAAGCTGCTTTCCGGCAAAGATCAGCCTCTGCTGGTCAGGGGGGATGCCCTCCTTATCCTGGATCTTGGCCTTAACATTCTCAATGGTATCACTGGGCTCCACCTCCAGGGTGATGGTTTTGCCGGTGAGGGTTTTCACAAAGATCTGCATCTTGCACCACCTTTACAAATTAAAAGAAGGGGGAATGGAAGTAGAAAAAATAAGTTCAAGTAAATGGCCACAACGTGTGATAATAATAAAAAAGAAAAAAATAATGTGACATTAAGATATCAGACCAAAAGAAAAACAATGAAATGTGTGTATTATATATATATATATATATATATATATATATATATATATATATATATATATATATATACTTGTTTGTGTGTATGTATATATGTCTGCATTAATTAATGTTCTCAAAAATAGGACCGCGCCTTAGCAACCATTAACAGCCGGAGCGCCATTTTGAGCTCATAGATTCTTTGTTCGTCAGTTCCCCTCTAATGGCCGAAACCAAAATGTCGAGTCACTGCCAGTGCTGGCAAGCACTAAGCACCTCTCTCAACAAACAACGGAGAACAAAGTAGTGGCAAATTTAATTAAATAGACCAAAGAGTCTCCGGCCAAAATTAAGACGGTATACGTTACCATCCTCAACTGACATCATTTTACACTTCGAAAAAGAATTAAAGCAAACAACAAATATTAAATACTACTACTATTGTATTCATTTGTAAAAGCTTAATACGATGTACACAATGTATTACATAAATTGTACTTAAAGTGTACTTACAGCTGTCGAAACTGTAAAAGTTACTTCTGTAATCGTCTGCTGTTGAGGGGCTTTCTCCCGTTAAAGAATTGGTGCAGTCTGAAGCGCGACACTATTTTATACTCAGCTGAACGTGTCAGAGATGCATATCAGTCCGCATACAAAAGTAGTTCTCAAAGCCTTGAAATGAACCCTTTCCATAAAAATATAAGTATGTACTGTGGTGCTTTTTTAAAAAGCTTAACATTTAATTATATTTGATGTTTTAAAAATGCGCTGAAATTTTAAGAAAATACAATTTTCTTCAGCTGCGGAATGATATCTTAGTGGTGGTGAATGGTCGTTCTCCAGAATCTGCCAGAAACGCCACGACAACAAGAACTTTCTCCTCTCTTCTGATTGGATAGCAGGGATGTTTGTTTGCCTTATGATTGGTTGCTGAGTTACAGTAAGTAAAGCATGATGACTAGCATATTATTCGATAGTTATAAGGCATACTTATTTAAGGATTATATGCAGCCTTTTGTTCACGTTTTTTGGATAGACGTAAGGTTTTATGAGGGTTTCAGCGACCTCGTTTTCGATTAGACAAAGTAAAAGGCTATATATCATGTTTTTTTTCCCTTCAAGTCGAATGACGGCATTTCTCAGACGGTAATAAGCACATGAACATGACTAGGCAAAATCCCAGATGTATCACCCAACTGATTCCTATTAATATATATATAGTATGTTGGTTTTAGCAGTGGCAATAGAGAAGGTATGCCATTTTAAAATATTATACTCGAATTTAACCTTGAAAAATGTGTTAGTGAATGACAGCAACTCAAAACTAACACTGAAAAAAATTAATTTTCCATTTCGAGGTCATTTTTGTGACAACCAAACAAATCATGAAAATAGTAGGATTTAATAGTGCACAGTTTGTTTTATGGCAATAATAATGATATAGTCTATTTATATCAGGATGTTTTTTTAATCTGTTTAGTTTAAGCTAAAGTAACTTCTCATTTGAATAGATTTCTGTTTTTAGCATGTACGCATTGACTGCTGGCCACTAGCTTTAGTCATTTTTATAGAAACATTCATTGACTGGACTATGTGGTTAATATTTTAAGCTTTTTCGTCTGTAGCTTGCGTAGAGTCAAAGAAATAAATGGAGACTTTTGAAAAACAAATCACAGAATCAATGGGCAGAGTCCATTTTTAGTTTGACATAATGTAAAACAGCAAGCTCAAATGGGGCTCTGTAACCTACTTGGTGTCTATTTTTGGGCCACAGACTGGATAACTGACCTGAGAGCATGTATAAGTTATGTATTTGGGTCACAGCATTCTCTTATCCCACCCATCTGGGACCATGTCATATGACACCAAACCCGTGATCTGACACATCACTGCTTGCCAACATCATGCAGGCTGAGCTGGTTCAACCTCCAAGGAATGTGTTTATTCATCGGCTGTACTTTGCCCTTCCCCTGGCTGGAAGCAATTATCAGCTATCTCAACGAGTTTCATGAAAACAACACATAAGGAAGAACTACGCCTAGCCCATATACTGTACGTACAATCTAGCAGGCTACTTTTGTAATGATGTGTCCACCCATAAAATAACGTATTCAGCAGTTGTGATAAATCTGATCTTGGTGAAAGGTCTTAATTGTGATTGTGAAACTTATCAGTGTTGCACTTTGAGCGGACTCGACTGGAATATTCTGGTTGGTTCCAGGTAAGCAGGTTTCGCAACAAACATGTCACAAGTGACGGAGGAAATGGCCTGGAGTTGATTTAACTGATGTACCTAAAGTAAGGCTGAAGGGACATAGATAATTCATATGTTCATGTGTGGTTTTGTTTATTTTTCTCTTATTTGTAGAATGGAGCTTGTGAAACACTGTGGTGGATGCCACTGTGGAGCTGTTAGATTTGAAGTCTGGAGTTCCCCTGACCTTCATGTATTTCACTGCAAGTGCGTATTCTCAATCTCATTTCTTGATCTTTAGACTGAGATTAAATGACACACAGGTTGACTCAATTTACTAACTAGATGACTTCTACATGTTACTTAAGATGCTTTTAAGTCAGGGGTGGGCAACTCCAGGCCTCGAGGGCTGGTCTCCTGCAACTTTCACATGTATCTCTACTTCAACACACTTGAGTCAAATGTTGAGGTCATTAGCAGGACTCCGGAGAACTTCACTGCACTTATGGGTATCATTGAGGGGGAAGGGGCAAATAGAAATGCACGTCACATTTTGAAGGTTTGTATTTGTACCAGTATAGCAAACAAATATCATTCTCAGCTGTGCTCCACCTTATGTTGGTGTGTCACACAAATTTTCAATAAAACGCTTTAACGGTTATATTTGTGAAGTGATAATGCGTGGAAAAGTTCTAGGACGCTGCTTTCCAAGGAACTGTGAAATATGAATCTAATTGATCACTTTCTCCAGTTGTAGTATTTGCACGAAAAAACAAAACCACCATTTCATCGTCCCGAAGAGTCGCTTTACTCTCTTACAGGTAACTGGTGTGCTTCAAACACGTCAGTGGTTATTTAAAACAACAAAAAAACAAAAAGTCTTAATGCTTGTGGTCTTCTTTTCTGTAGGGAGTTGACAATCTGACCACCTATACCTTCCACACTCATGTTGCTAAACACACCTTCTGTAAAACCTGTGGAGTTCAAAGTTTCTACTCACCGCGATCCAATCCCGATGGATATGGTAAGACCCCAGCCTCAAGTATTGAGGACATGAGATGGCCACATTACTCTCATGACCATATGTATACGTAAAAAACAAAAATCTTATGATCATAATAAGGGGGTAAATATTGGGAACTAAAAATTCTCTTGAAACTTGACGGTAAACTCATCTGATAAAAGCAGGTGTTACTGAAACATACCGAACATGAGCAGGTTTTTTGTTGTTGTTGTTTTTCAGTTCCTATGTTTCTGTTTACTTCCTCAGGCATTGCTCCACACTGTCTAGATCCAGGAACTGTGCGCAGTGTCACCGTGGAGAAGTTTTGCGGGGAGAAGTGGGAAGAAAGCGTGCAAGCTCACAAGACCATCAAAGACATGTCTAAACCTGAAGGGGACATGCTGTAAAAATAACTGCTGTTACACAACTTTGAAAACCGCTTCTTTTTAATAAACATTATATCAAAAACAGAACAATAAGAATCTGATTTAGTGTTTTCGTACAGTGTCCCGACAACATTCTTTGAGTCTCTTAAACACACCACATGATTCATTGAAACTGTCATCTGCTTTGTTTGTAACAACTGCACATGAAAATGCGGAAGCAGAAAGGTTAACAATAGCCACGCCGTCACAGGCTGGAACATTCAGTAGATCTTCAGATTCTTCGGTCCTTGTGGGACGATCTGGAACGTGTTTGTGAACATGTACCTCGAGAAGGTGATGTAGAGATACCGAAACCACAGAAGCTGAGAGCGATGACACAGCATAGCAGCCTGTGAGGGACATGTTGACATTTAACTCGAGACATGATGAGAACATTAGAAGAGGACTGATTATGCCTAATATTGTGTCATTTATGCCTCTGATAGCTTATTTCATAGTGTTAAATATGCTGTCCTAGTGCATATTCATATCACAATGCACTAAAAGGGTGTTTGAGGCTAAAAATACAATGTGACGTGTCTTGTGGGCAAACCTGTCTGCCCTCTCGCTTACTTTGGCTTGCTTGTAGCCCTTTAGACCAACAACACAGTGGAGGTGTGACGGTAGAAACCAGCTGAAGGGAAGGTCCAGGAAGGAGGAGTACTTTCTTAGAAGCCCTACGGTTTCCAGGGCGAGCAACACACACTCTGTGAACAAACACGGGAAACTCAAGACAGCTGGTCATGTTAAAAGCTCAGGGCGGACGGTATTCAGACAGACAATAAGGTCAACCTGCTTTTCAAGTCCTTAAGACGAGATGTACACCGCTCAAATAATATGTCGCATAGAAGATCTCGGACTGCTAATGTGGCGCAGACGGTTTCCCCTCACATGCAGCAAGATTAGCTGAGATCCCCTTACAGCCTGATGGCCAGGGTTATCACAGGGCCTAATCGTCAGCTGCTTCACTACGAGCCAACAGCAGGTCGGGTTGTCAGGGTGAAGCAGACGGTACTTTGTAGAGTTTTATTCTCGTCCTTTGAACCATTTACCATGTAATGACCATGAACATTCAGGGAATGTCTTTTTTTTTTATCTTTATGTGATAACCAGCTCATAGTGTTTAAGTGGAGGGAAAACAATTAATTCCCTATTTTTCTTAACAAATAAAAATAAGGAAGCACTGAGGGATAGTTACCTTTGGTCATTTTAATGATACTAGAGTGGCTAAATCTAAAGGAATGGTTGACAGAAAGAGAGTAATGATACTGGGCTCACCTGCTTGTGGTCTAACAGAATGTGGAGAATTTTATTGCCAGTCTCTTCCTGGTACAGACAGACTTTCCTGTTCGGTAGCGTGGTAGCTAGTTGGTATATCCTGGTCTGAGTCAGAAATAAAGTTACCAGGTCGGGGACCTACCGATTCTGATTTTGAGTGGAGCAGATTGGGGTTTTTTTGTCTGAAAAGTTTGCAACAGTGAAGAGACTACTGCTAACAGCGGACCTGCAGCCCTGTCTCACAGCAGAGCAAAAGGGCACAGTGGCTGATTTTCAGACTTTTGTGGCGGTAGATAAGATCAGTTTCACATGTTATTATCGGCCAATCGCAGATCTCCCAAAATTAAGAAAATTGGGACTGAAATTGTCCTAGTAAGTACGGCACCCCTACTTAATATTTATATTTAAAAACAAGCAAGTAGTTTGAAGTTGTCATGTAACAAAATGTAGAAAAGTTTTGCAGGATTCTATATTTCTTTACAATCATCTCATTTATATATAATGATTTTGTGTACTAAGTAGAAGAATTTCTTCTACTTTCATTTCAGTCTTCTAAGAAATTTTCCATCTGGTGACTCTTTAGAAATGTTCCAAGGAAAACAAAAGTAAAACTAAAAGGTAATGATGCTTCTATGGAAACCCCTGAAATGACGAGAAGAGGAAGAATCTGAAAGCACACAACTACACGACTACAGGCCAACTGTGCTGCAAGTAAACTGGAGCAGAGAGAAGATTGTTGAACGTGTTTGAACAGAAGAGGGCGCTAAACACTCATTAAATAGGCAAAGGCCTGCCAGTCTCTGCTGAACATCCCAGAGCTTTCAGTAAACATGTCAATCTTCAACAAGTCGTCTTCATGTAACACCTTACCTTTAGGCAATTCACCAGTAGAAGCAAGATGTCTGCAAGGGAAAACAAGACGGTTTACTGTTCATCTCACAGGAACTTGCATAAGTTGCATTTATGTTGATGGTATTTATGAAAACCTCCAACTGTGCTGACTTTTTCACACATTTATTCTCCGTAATCTGTTTACAAGTGAGCAAAACACTAAGATCCTGAGCAGCGTCAAACTGACACACTCTCCCTCTGGGCTCCAGCCTCATGGAAATCATGAGATGGCGTTTTATAGGGCTCACTTTTTAAAACAACAAACCAGGCCAACAGAGAACTGTAACCATGAAGGTGCAGTCGGTTGCTAGAAAGAGATCCAAGAGCCTTCTAGGGATTGTGATGTACTCCTCACAAACACATTTCTTTAAACCAACAGTCTGGCTGGAGGCAGCCTCTCCCAACCGAAGCCACCCTCCTCTTCCTCCCTCTTCACCACTTCGGGGGGACAGGATTTACAGCCGCTCGCTAAGAGCCAAGCCCAGTGCCTCAGAGGACTCTGTTTGGATGACCTCTCAGCTATGTAACAGACCAATTCTGAAAAACATGATCTCTATGCATGTGTGTGTGCGTGTGTGTGTTTTTGTGGGGAAGCATTTAGAGGGATGGCTGTTGTTGTTGTGAGTCCAAATTTTCTGCATTTTCCTGGAAAGACTTTTATGACTGTGGAGCGGTTTGCTTTCAGCATTTCAGCGTTGGCGGTTGCCAGAGTCGTTCCTCTGGCTAACGACTTCACGGCCAGTCCTTCTTACCTTACAGCTTTATGGATGGCGATGTGATTGGCATGACCGCTCACACCTCTTCCGTCAAAGGTCAGCACCTGGAACAACAAAATTGCTCAAGGTTTGGGTGAATAATGAAGAAAATAAAAAGAAAAGACCTTGGGGTTAGTGGAAGCATGCTGGTGCCTGACCATGAAGCTGCATGGCAGCTGACAGCCAGATATTTCAGAGTGTTTTTCTGTGCATACTTGAATGCCACAGGAGGAAACAAGACAAAAAAATAAATAAATCAGGTCAAAGGGAGAACAGAAGGCCCATGACTGAAGATGTGAACGGCTGTGCTCAGTACTACACTACCATGACTTTCTCAAGAGAAAGACATGTAAGACAGAAGAAGAAATATTCAAATGATTACAGATCTGTCTGGACATTAGACTGTTCTAATAGGAGGAGGCATTTATTTTATCGTTTATTATTTAATGTGATAAGATTTGTTTTCATTGATATCATGACAAATTCCTATTAATGATGGTTAAAATCCCCCCAAACTCCCCGTATTGTCAGGATTGTTATTTTTACTGTTCTCCATCGTTTGTTCAATAAGATAAATTTGAAAACAAGATTTAAAAATCCAAAGAGATGTTTGTGCCCTCAGTTCGGTGAAATAACTCCTTTAGAGCCACAAATATTTTGTGAACTTTCAGAAAAAGAAAAAAAAGATGAATATCTACAATAGCAATTTTGTTGTAATTTTTAAAGAACTACTGTTTTATTTCCATTTTTAGGTGCTGAAATAAAAGAAAAGCATGAAATTCTGTAAAAATAGGATGAGTATATTTTGTTCTGTGGGGTGTTGATATTCGTGAAAAATTGAGATGGTTATTGATGGTTATTGTATGTAAAAAAAAAAATCACAATGTCTTCAATTTAAAGACAAATAATAAAATAAAGATGAAAAAACATCTGTTGTAGAAATTTAATATAATCATTCTATGACAAAAAAAGGAATACTAAAAACTCATAATTGTTATATATGCAATTAAAGACATTAGCTAGATAATTTTTAGTCAATTAAGAGTCATTAGATACTGTGGTAAATACAGTTAAATCCTGGCAACCACAGCTACTGGTATTTTACCGTCAATTAGAGACATTTCTTTTTTTTTTTACAGTGCATATTCCCATCAGTTTTTTAAAAAGTTGTTTTTGGCTCTGGTGTCCTGTATGTCAAAGTGCTAAGACAGGAAAGTTGGTAAAGAGAGAGCGGGAAGACATGCGACAAAGGTCACCAGACCGGGAATCGAACCTGCGTCGAGTAGTAAGGCCTCCTTGTGCTCAACCGCTGTGCCACCACAGCACCCCGTATTCCCATCAATTCTGACCAACTTTCCTGACCCAGTCGCAGAAAACCTTGTGATTGCATGATGCTTCCACCATTATGTTGGTGTGTTTAGGGTTCCTCAGAGATGGTTATTGTTGCAAGTCCAAATTGTGACTATTGAGGTCATAAATAATGAGCAAGACATAAATTTTGACTGCATAACAAGAGAACAACAATGCATTAGGCCGAAGAAGCACTGTTATCACTTTTGGATTTTCAGAACAGATGGTGTGACTAACATGAGTCTTTTGCCCACTTTTGGGCTGCGTTTTTCAACAGCTGGGCTGGACAGGATAGGAGGAGACGGTGTGTTTGTTTGTCTACTTTAGTCGAGGGAGCCTGATTGCACTTCAATCTTACAAAAAGAGCTTGTTCTCTCGCTCTCGTGTTGTCTTTGGTTGGGGGTAATTCCGATTTAAGCTCTTGTTGATATAAAACAGATGTGTGGAAAAAGCAGAATATGATTCTAAATTTACTGCATTCCCATTAGCTAATAGCATGGAACTGTGCTGGCGGCCGATAAGAATCTATGTGTAAACAGATTTCGGCTTTCTGCTGCAGCAGAGGCCATTTCCTTTGCTTTTCCAGGGCTAAAAATGCAGAGTGGGCGGGGCTCAGAGGGATTATTACAAACAGGGATAATGAACTGGGCAACTGGGGTGCCAAAACATATGCATAATACAAAACAACAGGAAGAGAAACTTTAAATAACAAAGGGGAAATTATACGAGCCTTTACTCAAAGGTGAACTTACCATGTTGATACAGTGATCTGTGATGTGCCTCAGTACTGCAGAGGAGACTAATGAGACGCTCCATTGGGCTTTGGGATCATCTGGAAGTTTTCTGTAGCGGGCCAAAAAAAGAAAAAAACGAGAAGGAGACTTTGATTATCAGCAAGATCAAACACATCACTGCCTTCCTGTTTTGTCGAGAAAAAAAAGTCAAATCTGGCTTTTATGGAATTGCTTAAAGACAAAAGATATTGTGTTAAAACCTACAATGAATGCTTCATTTGAAACTGTGAAAAATGCTGGAAAAGACTGGAGTGGTGCTTCACTTTTCAGCAGAAAACAATGAAAGTATATATGTGTGTGTGTTAGAATGATGACGTCCAGATCTTAGTCCAATTGAGGATTTGTGGTAAAATGTCATATTTGGCTTGCAATTATCAATGCATCCAAAAATCAACTTTTTTAAAAAAATATTATTTTGAAGTTGTTCAAATGTAATATGTTTATCCCTTCAAAAATATAAATCCATATTTATGCTCTAAGAAAAAATAATAGAAATAAACATTCTGAATGTAAACTTTCTGTATTAAACAGTCTGCTCGCGCATTATTATAATGACCAAGTTAACTGTTATCCCTTCGTTGCACTAAATATGTACTTTTTTGCTTCAGGGAGATAATTTGTAATAACATTTGGAAACCATCCTCTAAATCCACATTTAAAACCTTTTATCTCAATTCTAAATAGTACAATTGTTAGAATATTAGGTGCTACTACAACATAATGAACTAGGAAAAGTTTAGTAAGAAAATTACTGTTTTGATATTTTTAGCCTAAGTTTCCTTCTGTTACCATGTAGCTTCAGAACGAATGAATTTCGTGAGTCTTTTGTATTCTGTTGTATTAAATCCAAAATCATTTAATACAACATTCGGCTGGAGAGACATTTGTGTGGTGATTATTGTGAAGCTACAGCTAACATTGACAGATTGTTAGGAGCCATGAGCAATAATCCACCAATGTCACTGGCTGATAATAAAGCGCATTCTTTCACTGGAAAAAACAGGCTGCAGTCTGAAATGTATCTCAGAAAAGAAGTCCAATTCAAGTGTGACATCTTTTATCTTTGCAACTTCAAACATACAAGAAGTTATTTCTGTCCGAAGCTCCATCTTTTTTCTGTAACAGTGCTTTATAAAGTGAGCTTTTGTTCGGTGCAACAATAGCCGAGTACCGAAGAGTTCAAAGGTTAAGGGTCGATAGTCCTGTTGCTTCTCCTTCATCTGAAACTGCAGCCTGGAGGCGACGCAAAAGCACAAATCAAACATCAAGGTTGGCCAACCCACCCTGCTGACCTACTAAACGTTCACAAATCCCCCGTTTTTGCTGCAGAGATACAACGCTGAGTATTGATCTCCTGTGTTTCCCAACATCCTAAACTCAAGAGGGAAAAACACACACACACACAAATAAGAGCAAAGGCGCTTCAAATCTGCTTAGCGATGAATTTGGCTGACACGGTTCACAGCAAAAACCCACAGGCTTGAATCAGAAATGGAGTGAATGCTGTTTTCACTTCTTCGCTTTCAGCTGATAAAACCCACAAAAGGTTGCTGACATCTGCAAGGAAGAGTGTAGCTGTAAACTTTTAAAAGATAAGGAAAAGGTTTTAGTGCTGAGGTTACTGCATGGATTGCCAAGACTTTCCATGTTAGGCCAGAGCTTGACACACAACAAGAATGAAAACGTTTGGGCTACACTTGACAGTCTTAATTTACTTGGGGAAGTTTTTAAAGAATAAAAACAATTAAATATATAACGTATGGTGTGAGCTGCAGCCCTGCTTGCTTGTGAGCTGCAGGGGTGGCCTCGTGTCAGCAGTTGTCTCCCTGTCTTTTGTTGCAAACAAAAAGCCAGGAGAGTGGAGGTCGCAGAGGGAAGTGATGGATTAGAACACATTTCTATTGACTGCCGGGGCCACAGGGGGTCAGGCGTTAGGGGGATGGGGGCTATGAATGCCACAGCGAGGAGGAATGAGGGTTCAGAGATAGTTTAAAACTGTCCATCATGGACTGAATGCAATGCCCTGACAATTTGATACCAGTGACCTACTAATATTGAGGCCTGGGCATCAGGTTATGTCTGCTTTTGTCCAACCTGAAACTAAATGAAAGCAAATTAAGTAGGAGCACCCTATACAAACCAAACGCCTTTGCAAAAGTTTTCACACCACTCGCATCTTGTTACACTTACGTCCACAAACCTCAACGGGTTTTATTCAGATCTTACACGGCAGACCAACACAAGCTAGCACTTAACTGGGAAATGAGAGGTTGTGGTTGTGTGTTGACAAATAAAACCCTTGAAACTGATAAAATGAGGGTTTATACAAATTTATAAAAATGAAATTAAATAATTGAGTTGTGAAATCTCAAATAAGCTATAAAATATATACTTTTTTTTTTTTACTTTGCATAGTAACACAAAATAATTAAACGTTAGTTAAAGTAGCCCAACTTTGAAAAAAAAAAAAAAAAAAAAAAAAAAAATCACACTTTAATGATAGAAAATATTTTCAAAATCACTGGAAACACTTAAAATTACACTAAGAGCATTTTCTTTAGGCTACCGTGAACCTAAATGTATATTTTTGTTGAAAAATAAACACTTACTCCACTACCTCTTTGCCTTCAGAGTAATGATTGTCTTGTCTGATGCTTGGAGCTCACTCATACACAGCTAAGATTTAGAACATTTCTAGAGCGGACCACAAATAGCTGTGAACGGATTATCTCACCCGAGCAGTGTTACTTTTTGCTGATTCGCTATAATCTTGTGAGAAATATTTATCATTAGGGTATGGTTTTATCCCCTAACCTTTTCTTCAACTTCTTCACAGCTCTCTACCTGTCTGCTTTGTTCCTTGGTCTCCATGATGCTGTGTCTGATGTCCATCTTTAACAAACGTCTATGGCCTTCAGAGAGCGTCTGAATTTGTAATCAAATTTAATTAAATGCATTTAGAACATTTTCTACCTTATACACCTAACTTTCTATATCATTTAGGGGTGAAGAAAATATCCAAAACAGTTGTCAGTTTCAGTTTTGAAAAATAAAAATAAAGTATATATATATAGTAAATGTACAGACTTTGTACAGATTATGTAATTTATGTAATAAAATTTTTTTCTTTTGTCCTTTTTGTGTTGGTTCTTTATATAAACTCTCAACAAAATGCACCTGAGTTTGTACTTGTGACTTGAAAGAAAGAACAAAAGTTAAAACTTAAGCTAATGAATATTTAAGGAAGGAAGGAATGAAGGACGGACGGACGGATGGATGGAGGGATGGATGGATGGATGGACAGATTTGACCTTTCTCCTGCCAGATGCAGGCTTTCAGATTCACCATTGCAACAGAAAGAACTGTCCCAAAGTAACCTCGCCAGATCCTCTTTGTAGCTTTGCACGCGGATGCCTAATTGCTTGCAGGCATCTGTACGCAGTTGTTGAACTTTGGCCCAGTAAAAGGATTCTATGTGTGTGTGCGTGTGTGTTAGAGAGGGCTTGTTTAGTCTGGTCACATGGACTAAAGGCCTGTGAAACTGCCAGACTTCTGTCCACATTGTCAGATAATATGTCCTGCTGGGAACAGCCGAGATGCCACTGCACGCTGACAGAACACCCACAATAAGCCACTGTAACAAGGAGACTGTGGCCGCAGTAGCTGAGGCAACTGACACATGTTGTTTTATTATTTACATGGCACTCATGGTCTGCAGGTTTTACCACTCTTCACACGTCCAATAAATAGCTATGGGATTAGTGTCGTGGTTTTGACAGGAAGTTTCTACATGTCACCATTCATGCGTGAAGAAGCATGAATGTGATGCTTAATGGCTGATTTATCAATCGACCAACGAATCAATCGATTAATTAACTAACCAATAAACCTTATTTTAACAGCACAATTTAGCAACAAGGCAGTTCAAAAATGCTTAACATAATAAAAACACAAAAATAAAAAGTCATGAAAAATAGTATATAATTGCTGAACCTGTGTCAAACATCACATTCTGACCAGTGAGATCATTAAATCAGCAATATATAAATGGCACGTTGGTCAATGTGCCATTTCTTATGGTTCAAAAGCAATGCTAAACAGGTGGGTTTTTATAGCCTTGATGAAAAGGAACTTAGATTTCATCTGTTTTACAGTTCTGCAGATTTGGTTTGCATGATTTGTGGTGCATAGAAGCCGAATGCTGCATCTCCATGTTTGGTTCTGGTTCTGCGGAACAAAACCAGAAGACCCCACATGTTACTTCTGTCCTCTCCAATGAGATGTTACCTTTTGACAAAAAGAAATTCCTATTCTTCATGTAAGATTTGAAACGATTGAGTACTAGACTGGAGAGTCCTCCCCAGCTCATATGGGCAGTTGCTCAGGGCGGTACTAAAAAGAGGGAGGGATACAAATGAGCACCAGATGAAAAAATTATAACTTAAATGTCAGTTGTGCCCTAAACAAATTTACACATGTTCAGCCCCTTTGTTTTTAGTTGTCACCCACCGCCAGGTGAGTATAAATCAGCTTTGGCTATTTTTGACACTGATCTGTGTATATTAAATCTGGCAGTTCATGACAGGCTTTTTTTTTTTTTTTTTGCAGAAAAACATCATGCTCTATATTTATATCACTGCAGTGGTTTGCACATATCCTACTGCAAACCACAGCGTCCAGTGTTCGATTTGCTAGCAAGAGAAGATTTGAAGCAAATCCAGGCATTGCAGTCAGAGTGAGAAACGGATATTGATAGAAGTTCAGTCTGATGAACAATGCGACATGGGTTAGTGGGATTTACACAGCGAGCAGCTACAATCGAGCCCAGGAAGCAGGGAGAGGTCAAGCACGGGCAAGCAAGGAGGCAACAGAGCGTGCTCAGATCGAATTTGATCGCAGAGACCCCGGTGTGCCACCGGCGTCCCCCAACCCTCATGTGGTCAGCACAGCTGTCCCATCGGCATTGAACTGAAACGGAGCTCAAATGTTATTCCTGCTATTCGAAGAAATGAACTATTTGCATGAGAGCTTGTCTGACTAAGATCTGTCGTCATGTAATCGCACTAACTCCTCCCTCATCAACAACGCAGCATAGCACAGAGGACAGTTGTGTCACCTGTTTGACTTGATACTTAGGCGTGAAGTAGAAGGAAAGTAGAACATTTTTGTTTTAACACACAAAAGGTTTCAACACAGAGGGGGCTGCACAGTGGCGCATTTGGTAGCACTGTTGCCTTGCAGCGAGAAGGTCCTGGGTTCGATTCCCAGCGAGAAGGTCCTGGGTTCGATTTCTGCACGGAGTTTGCATGTTCCAGGATCCATGCTGACCCCACTAAGCTGTTTTTGATGAAAAATAGTGAGGAAAAAAAATCTATTAAAATCAGAGACTGAATTTGGCATTTTCAAAACTTGTAGATTTTATTTTTAAACAATAGAGCACAGTCGATGAGATGAAGCCACCGCAGCAACGACTTGACATACAAACAAAATTTTGTGGAGAACGAGAATTAAATCTACGCTTCAGCCTGATCTCGTCATCCCCACTTTGAAACAAGTGGTGGCACTATCATGCTGTGGGGATGCTTTTCTGTTGCAGATGCAAATAAATTAGCCAGCGAGGGATGAAGGTAGGGGAAAAAACAAACAAACCTACAAATAAACTTGACCTGTCTTGTTGTTGCACAGATATAGAAAGATATCTAAATTGTCCTTCACGTGGATAAAGAACCAGCCCAAATATATGACCTCATTACAGTTAAAACTACAGCCCCAAAACAACTAGATCAATGTGGACTAAAGGTTACCCTCTCCTGTTTCCGTCTTTGGGCAGAACAAAATGAACAGCAAAGGAAAAACAAGAGCATACTTGAACCGGCGAGCGAGGTCGGGAGCAAAGCCAAAGTGTGGCTGGCCGAGTGCAGACACAAGCAGAGAAAAACAGTTCGCAATGACCTACATTAGCAGTGCTTAGTGTGTCGCCACAATGTATCCAACAGTCCGTGGCGGTTGCCTTCAGCAGACGTGGACACGGAGAGGAGGAAGGGGGATCAGTTGATAGCGAGTGAGCGGGCTTCTCAAAGTGCTGATTAGATGTGTGTGTTCAGGTGTGTGTTTCAGGCAAACAAGGGAATACATGGAAAGGGGGAAACGGACCACCCTCCAGTTCAGCAGAAGTGCAGGCAATTCGGAGAACAAAGTTCAGCTGCATTCTGTGAGCAAAATGATGGTAAAATGGTGAGATCTGAGCAAGAGTGCTGAAGCAACCACACGCACACAAACACACACAGTTGTTCTTTGGGGCAGACAGTCTGGGCATGCGGCCAGCTCATTACTGGGAGTTCCAGGTGAGTGTCAGAGTTCATCCAGCTCTCCTGGAGAGCCAATTTGCCGGGACTCACATGGAGGCAGCTCAGACCTTCTGAGAAACTCCAAACATTTGAAAGTCAGGCTGAAGATTTTATCCACATTAAAAAATAGATTTCACTAGAGAATCGTTATTTCAAACTTGAGATAAAAAAAAAAATGCTTTAAGCTGACATTTAAATTTGCTTTACAATATTTTGCAAAAACGTACAGATAAAAATGTATTTTGTTACAACCTGGAAGTAGAATGGGTGTTGGGATTTTTTGGGGGAGTTTTCTTTTTTTTTGGGGGGATGAATTTGGTGTTCCACAGGGCAGACTTATTAACCTCCTTACATACTACATCGGCTCAGAAAGAATGACGTCACTTGCCGGCAAAATGCCAGGATGTGATTTGTGGTCAGCGCTTTGTGTTTTGACAGACGCTGGCTTAAAGGAAAGAATCTGACGCTTTCCAAGAGGCAGACATGATAAGAAGCTAAGCGATGAGCTAAATAAAGAACATCCATCCATTTGTACATGTCTTCAAACAGGTTGGGTCTCTCTGAAACCCAGATATGCCTCTTGTCAGCTTGTTCTTAGGGATCCCAAAGATTTCTAGTTCTGCCAAGCAATCTTCCTTCCATTAAGAAATCCTCCCAAAAGCCCCACCACCTTATGGAGACCATAACAGTGGGTTGGAATATAAAAAGAACATTAAATTAGCACATTTACCTTACTTAAGCAGATTCTCCTATTTCTATATTTGTATTAGTTTTAATAAAATTCTGTTACATTTAGTCCATTGAGTACATTTTTAATAGCCATTTCTTTGCTGTCTAACTTGTGTTTTTAATGTTGTAAAGTGTCCCTGGGTGTTTTGAAAGGCGTTGTCAAATAAAATTATTATTAAAACATTTACTTGAAATTACTTGTATGACAATCTGTGCCTGAGGGATGTCCAAAAAACATCCCAGGTCACATCCCACACTCAGTGACCTGCGACACTGAGTGATTTTAGAAGTCTTGATAAAGCAAATTTGGCCCCTCAGCAGTCTATCTTGATGAAGATAGAGACATTTTATTTTAATCAAAATAAAAATAAATAAAACATTTTCTTGTGTCATTGAAACATACATCTAAAGGAATGAAAAACATGTTTAGAAATTCAGATTGGTTTTTACGCTAAATTATTTTTTTTCCATCCCTGGAAAATTATGAAATCAATATTGTGCTTTTTATGTTGACTTTTCCAGTGTCTGGCCTATTTTTTTCTTGAGAGTAGAGCTGATTCCTTTAAAAAAAATCTTGCATTCTATTATTGCTGATTCTTTCTTATTACACGCTTATTTCAATAAGTATTACAGCAACCTGCAGTTTCATTGACATTCCTGTCAGAGCTGTTCAAAAAGCCTTAAAGCAAAACCTTTGTCGATAATCCTAATCTAAAGGTTTTGCTGCAGTTTTCCTTGAATAATATTTGGACATTTGTTTTATTTTTAAAATTATTTTACCTCCCTCATATTCCTGGTTACTTTGTCTTTTGCTAAAAAAAAAAGCAACAACAAAAATCATTGATCGTCATTAAGTCTGGTTTGTCACTGTTGTAGTGGTTTACAGCTTTAAAAGAAATGTGTCAATTAGTGCAAATAGCCCAAGCTAATAGAAAAAGAGGAATAACTAAATTCCTGACTTCCAATTAGTCAGGAATAGGAAGAGAGGAAGCGTGATCAGTGTTTTTTAGTTTGACACTGATCAAACTAAAAACAAAGAACATAGGTTTACCATTAGTGATTTTGTTTAAAAAAAATCCTTCATAAGCTTCCCCCTATCAAATAACAGCTTTCAAGTAAGTTAATCAGGTCCATGGTGCAAAACAGACAACCTCTAATATTGACTTACCAGTGTGAAAGCAGTTATTTATGAGTTGCATGTAGTAGCAAACGTATGCTTACTCGTGGTTTATGATGGTGACTCTGGAGGCTGGTATCCCCAACACAGCACAGCTTCTGAGGAGTTCTTCTCTGCGTTGAGATCCCTGATGATAGAAGTTCCCTGTCCAAAAATTGCAGAAAAAGTTGAGTCTACAGGTTTATCAAAAATAAACAAATTTATAACTTGCCCCTATAAAGTTTATGAAACACACACACACACATATATATATATATATATATATATATATATATATATATATATATATATATATCGAATTTGATCGCAGAGACCCCGGTGTGCCACCAGCGTCCCCCAACCCTCATGTGGTCAGCACAGCTGTCCCATCGGCATTGAACTGAATGCCGATGGGATATATATATATATATATATATATATATATATATATATATATATATATATATATATATATATATATGGGAAGCTTATGAATATGTAACCTGGTTGAATTTATCTGTTACATATTACTACTGACTAATAGTATTGTCAATTGAATTAGGTTTGATTAAAATGTGGTGCTGATTAGCTTTCTATCATTCAACAAACCGTCCTCTCATCTCTTAAATTATGTTAGGGAACATCAGTTTTCTATTTCTTTTACACCCTACTTAATTATTATCTCACCTTGAAGATGAGGTGAATATGTTTTCAACCTGAAGATGACTGTTTCTATAGCTTCAAGCTTAAAGGTGATGCTTTGTTGATCTTTAACCTTTGGGTCTTTGGGCTAATGAGATTTACTTCAGAGTCTAAACCCGAATGGGTGGATAAAACTGAAACCAAACATTCTATCAACGTCAGTCGGTGTGTTGTCTTCTCGTACCTTCAGACAAGCACAGCAGGTGTACGCTGGCATTCGATTCCACGAGTCGTATGATCGTTGGGGCAAAGAACATGCATTCATCATCCGGATGCGCAGTAACAGCCAGAGCTCTGACGTCAGCGCCAACTACTTTTCTCTCTGACGAAACGTTGAAGGTACGTTTCAGCGAGCTCCTCAAAGCGTGCCATTGTCGACTGTAAATGTATTTTATACACACTAAATAGGACAAAACGGCGAAGAGGACTAGGTAAACATACATTATTTTGACCGTCCCCGTAAACGGTCCGTGTAAGGACACGATTCCAAACCGTCAATGGTTCCGAGTGTAAAAAAAAGAAAGAAAAAAAGTGCATACCTTTTACGGTTGTTTAAAAAACTAAAACTAGTCTGTCAGCAAAAGTAACGAGATACCACACGTGTCGCTATCTTTTAATATTCAATTAGAATCACTGTTGTATTTTACTTAACGAAAGTCTGAACTTTAAGAATAAAATTAATATGATTATGATTTTTAAAAACATCAGATGTACGTCCGTAAAATAAGAGTCTGACTGTTGACATCTGTGGGCGTTTAATTTTAAAAGTCCTATTTTAAAAGCTCTTCGACATTACCTTGTTTGGGGGGACGATTTAGGTGTAACACCGTACTGTCCTTACAGATATGTAAAAATGATTGGGTCGTAGTTTTTAAATGTTAGCAAAAACTGAAAAGAGGCGCAACGCTTTGTGTCACTCTTTATACAAACAACCGTTTCGTATGCAAGTCGATTTTTATTCAGCGTTCTAAATTCAAAAGCTAACGAAAACGATTGCTCGTCACTGTTAGGACGTCGACCGACAAATGCGGCGTAGCCTTTCAGTCTGCTCAGTCGCTCACAGCCCACAACCCGCGGATTTACAATCAACAATTCAAACAGATTTCTGCACGGGCCACCTTTCTTTCCCGTTCCGACAAACTTCAAAAATGGGGTGAGTACATATGGCCTGCATGCAGCCAGCCAGCGACTGTCTTTAATACACTATTTAAGCGACTCGCCGTGCGCTGAAAATCTGCCTTGCAAGATGGCGACGTGGTTTAAGGTGAAATACAGGCTGGGCTAGCCAGCTAGCCACAACGACATCCTGAACGTCCTAATATGGTGTTAAAGTACGTTTAAAGCGCCATAATATGAGTTGATATTTATTGTTTGGCTCGTTTTTTTGTAGACGCTCCCTGTTGTGTGAAAGCATTCCCATCCCCCCCTACCCCGTTATCAGGATGTGGTATTAATCCAGTGGCAGTTAACTGCATTATAATGTCGTTTTAAGTGACAACACAAACACAAGACAGCAGCAGCATTAACCCTGTTCTTTTTTTACTCAAGCCCTGCTCACTTTGCATGGAAACAGTCTGACGGAGCCATTGTGATATTGCACCCTGTTAATTCGACCTTAAAGCTTCACTGAGATAGATTTATGTTTACAACCCCAATATGCCTCAAATCCCTTCTGGAGCTGCTATTAAACTGATGCAGTGGAGGGTGAAATGCCTGCAACTCATTTTTATTTCCTCCCACGTTTTATTTCAGGAGAAAAAAATAGGTGTCTGTAGAAATCCAGCTAAAAAAAAGTCCATAAAACAAAACAAAAAAGTTATAAAGGAATAGCATGCTTTAGAAAACGTGATTGCCATGTGACTTTAAAAAAAGTAGGGGAAAATATATATTTTTATGTCCTGCTAAGCTGAAGAATTTCTTACCAAAGGGGTGGGCTTTTAATAGAGATAAACAGGGATTAAATGTTGGGCTTGCAAACATTTCTAAAGTGCATAAATCTTTTTTTTCTTTCCAAACTGATGTTCAGTCTTCAGTCTGTATTTCAGTTGAATGTAGATATCTGGCAATTACAGTAGAGATTGACCAGTGTAAGATTTAAATTGCATGAAAACCTTAAATAAAATCATTGAGGTATCACAATATTAACTAATTGTCTTTGTTAGAGATTGAAAAGTGTAATAATAGCCAGTTGACCTGCAGTGTGCTGCAACAGGTGGATGAGAAACAATGCGGTGCTTCTTTATGCTCCGTAGAGCTGCTTTCATACCTTTCTTATACCATAACACAGATAATCAGTTCATGCCTACTACTTTTGTGATTTTCTTCTGCTCAGATTGTTTGTAGTTGCTTTTCTATAGAATGTGGTAACATAAAATTAGTCCCTGAATCTGACTTGCAGTGACAGTTATTTTTAATAAACTGTCTATGAGGCATTATCTGAGATTTTATTATCATCATAAGCTTTCCCAGCATAAAAAACAAACAAACAACAAAATAAAAATACATCAGTTTTTGCTCAAAGATCTAAAGCAATAACAGGGTTTCCCCCAGAAACTTGCTCATCCCGGTTCTAAAGGGCGCTAGGGCAGTGATCCAATTGGCCGCCATGTTTTTGAGTTAAATTTTTTTTAAAGTTAACAGGAACTTTGAAAATATCACTTGATAGTTATGTGTTATTGGAAGACTTGAAAATGAATACCTAAACACCATCTATAAAGTAAAAAAAGGCAATCATTAAAAAAAAAAAAACTAAAAACTAAAATAAACAATCCTAAGCCTGACGGTACACAAGTAAAGTCTGGTGGCCCGTCAGGCTTATACTATGTATTATGTCTTGTTGTTTTGCTCTATATAGGGAATCACAAGTCTAGCAAGTGGAAACTAACTGGTTGGTTAGTTGGAGCTTTTTCCTTCAAACTGGTATCTAAACTTACTAAATCACAGCTCTTCCTGTTTCCAGTTCTTAATCTATGACCCCAGCATCAAAAACCAAGTGTCATCCCAGCCTCATCAAGCTGCTGTTCCGGAGGAACCGTTTTCATCAGAAGCTTAGACGCAGGCTCAGCCAAACAAAACCTTGTGAACGCCGTGGTTGAAACTCCAGAGTTTTATTTTCTTTCGTACGGATCAAATTCAAACATAAAAATCTAGTAAAATCACAGCATTTCAAGGATAATACAGTTTGTGATTTGTATGTTATTGTTGTTCTGTATGTCAGGACCTTTTAACAGTTGATTGGCAGTGAGCAGCAATATGCCTGGGAGTTGCTTTATAGATCTTGGGAAAAGGTATATTATTTTTAGTGTGACAAAAATCATGACAGGTGTTTGCGCCTTTAGTGGCCTATATTTGAAGTGTTCAGATGGGAAGTGGGAAGAGCGAGAGAGAGAAGATTTTTGAAAAGTTTGAAGTCTTTGGTGTACTTTGACATTAGTAACTGATCCATGCTAACTTGTAGGACATTCAGACATGTTTCTTTGGATCCAGAAAGAGCGTTTGTCAAAAATGACCTATGGAAATCAGCCTGGGGGATGTTGTATCAATCACATACGTCGTCCCTTTTGCTAAAGGCTCAGCCTTTATAGACCATGTTAATAGTTTGACCAAATCATCTCAGAATATTCGAGTGTTTATCATACTTATTCATCATTTTTTTATTATAAATTGATAACAGATTGCATTTTATTTTAGGGCTGAAACGATTAATCGCCATTAACCGATTATTGAAATAATCGTCAACTAATTTAGTAATCGATTAATTGTTTAACGGAGTAGATGGACTTAGAAAAGGACATTTGGAGAACAAAACAACATACTTGGAGCAGTAAATAAGCCAAAATGTCCAAAACATGTGTACAATTTGCATTTAAGATAAAAAAAAACCTTTGCTAATAAATATGTTCTACTCAAAACTGCTCAAGTGACAAAGTTTTAGCTTCAGGTTCAGTTTTAGGTTCAATTTGTATAAAAAAAAAAAAAATTCCGCTCGGCACATTTTGCTATTAATCTGCAGTCCAAAAAATAAAGTACACATTAACCCCACACTGTCTTGATAAGTGAAGTAGAAAGAGCTGAGTTTAGAACAGTAACATTTGCTTAACATTAGTACTTAATCGTTACTTGCACCTGCATTTTATTTTTTATGTTGAAAAGCTCAACTCCTTCATGCCAATGGCACAAAACTTGGGGACATTTTTTTTTAAATCACTGTTGCATTTGGGCTCCTTTTACATATTACATCGTCAATCTTACAAGCTGAATCCTACAGCACATCTCAAAAGGCAAATGTTACTGTTTAGAGTCACTAAATACAGAAAATGTGATCGATCAGATGCAAACATAACCGTTTTCTACTCTGTCAAACCTTCCTGCTATTTGCTGAACTTCTTGCTCTCTTTCAGATCAGTTCAGGTATTTTACGTACCTGTCCCAATGTCTAAAATGCACCATGTTTTATTGCCACATTTCTGTGTGCAGGTGGTTTGTGTCTCCAAACATGGTGTAGCCAAACTTTCCATTTTGTGAGGCAGCAGCAGCCCGGCAGCACCAAACCAGGATGTCCAGCAGCTCGGGCTACCCCCCTAGCCAGGGGTCGTTTAGCAGCGAGCAGAGCCGATACCCACCACACTCTGGTGTCCAGTACACCTTTACTGGATCGCGCCACCAACAGGTAAAACTAAACTTCAGTAAAGCCATTTGCTTTCCTCCTTTACTAGTTGGGCATCTTTTAGAGTTCATTACAAAGATTTTAATACCTCCTGAAAAACCTTAATACATAATTTTTATAAATTTAAACAAGTATGGAATAAAGAAACTTATTGATTTTTGTATTTTTCTAGTGACCCACAGTGGAAAAAAAAACCCTAATAAAAAAGCAGTGGCACATTTTTGAGTTTTAAACTGGATCTCTGACTCTTTCACGCGACTCCTGCACTGTAACAAAAGAGGCCAGGTTTCCCTAGGCCATTGCAAAGCACCAGCAATGCATTCAAATGCTGCAAAATATGAATCAACCTCAGATTTTCTGAAAGTAGGTACTAAAGAAATGCACTTACTGATGTCAAATGGTATAGCAGACATGGAGGTGGAACCTGGTGTGACAGAAGCAGAAGGCGCTCGAATCTGGGCCTCCAGCTCAAGTTTGTGCAGCTGTACAGCTTTATCGGCCTCTATTTCCAGCCTCCTGGTCTCAAGCTCCGACTGAGCTTTTCTGTCCTGGACTTTTTCCTCAGACTCCATCTGGAGACGTGCCAACCACACCTTCAAATGGGCTCCATCTCGTCCTTCTGAGCTCACAGAAGACAGTGGATCATAGCAAGGGAGTGTGCAAGGTGTTTTTCCCTGGTCACTCACTGTGGTCTCCACACTCGGACCATCTTTGAGGTCCTCTACAGACAAGGCCTTTTGACCCGATGCTGCAGTAGTTTCAGGCGGATCAGGGTTTTTGATCACACCAATTTCCATCAACTTATCCAC